ATTATTGTTGTTGCTATAATGCAGGGGTATTATTATCCAGTGGAATGCCCTTACCTACTGGCCTAGTTAAATCAAAGTGGTTACTTATTTTTGTCTGGGCAGTGTAGTTTTACACACCATCTTATTTGACTTTCTCAGGGCAGACCCCCACAAAGAAAAAAATATATGTACACACGTAAGGTCATCATCTTAACAGTTTTTAATGCTCGAGTCATCCGTGAGCAGAGCATCAAGTTGGCATGCCTATTACAGCTGAATGCGGCGATTACCATCTTGTTCAGCAAAACGCCTCACAAACGTATTAACATCCAAAGCTTTAGTGCGTTTTGATTCAATGCTGAGCACAGCCAAACTTGACAGTCTCTTCTCTGTCATTGTAGACCGCAAATACCTTATTCCTTCCGTGTACTTGGGTCCGAATGCTTCTCGTTTTCTGCCGCCCGTTCAAATGAAATCGCCGCCAATCACATTTCCTCGCTCGCGCCAGGGTTACAAGGCTCGCGTCTTGTGCTGCATTCACTTGCACTCGGACATCAGGGATTTTCTCTGATAAATGTCCGATGAGCCACAACTTTTATTTCAAAACAAAGCTGCCAACTGGGGTGGCCAGACGCTGTCTCCTCTCTCACTTTAGGTAACTTCACTAAAAATCGATCCATGTTGCCGCTCGCATAAAGTTAGCTGAAGTTAACGAGCTAGATTTCATTGTTTCTCTTTATTTTTTTCTCACGCTGCGCCTCCCCTGAAGCTCTCTGGCGCCCCCCAGGGGAGGCGCGCCTCACACTTTGAAAACCGCTGGTCTAAGACTTAAGAAACACTAGGGTTTCCTGCCAAATAAATATGTAAAAAAAACACTTCAACACTTTAAAAATAACAATTGGCTGCTTTCCTTTTGGTTTCTGGCTTCAAAAATGTATATGCTGTTTTCTGTAGGCCTATATAACTGGAACAAAGTGTACACAATACAATGGACTTCCAGCAGCTCCACTTGAGTCTGTTATTAACTTTACTTTCTGAACACATTTCACACAGCTTCCATGCTGCACATGAACCACACTGAGCCCTTTGCATGCACTGACAAATTCAGTGTTTAGCATGGGTGCAAAACTGTACAATATGTAGATATTTAATCAAGATAGGGGCTACTTTGCCTCCTAACTGCCATCTATAGGTAATACACTGATTATGGGTAATTTAACCCCACATCAGACATCCAAAATATTTGAGAAAAGTTCATTGGGAACTATACTTGACTTGTATACAAATAAAAAGGCCATATAATGTAATTATATACATTAATTTCTGAGGGGATGCTTCTTTCTGTTAGACTATCTCAAAATAATACATTTCAGACAATAAATGGCCAATTGAATCAGAAACACTTCCTATCCCCAAGATGCAAAAGAGCTTTCCAAGAATCATGCTTCCTTGTCTATTGAGCTGAAAAAAACAAATCTGAAAATGTTCCATATGAGCTGACTCACATATGTCCGACTTATTTGCATGATGAGATAAAGCCTCAAGACTGTTCAAGCATAAATAATATGTTGAATTATGTACAGCCGCTTTGGCCTGAAGGCAGGAAGATTCAAGGAGGAAATGAGACTGAAAAATCCGTTACTAGGTCAAATACCGGCAAGATGCAAGACATGTCAAATATACCAGGTTCAGATGTGTCTGAAATACTGAAAAGTAAGTAGAGGAAGAAAAAACAGCTACTATATATACTACAATTACAGAGATCTGACCAACTATTAGCACATTAAAAGATATTTTAACTAAAATATATAATTATTGAGGGAATCTACTTACTACAAAAAGCACTACATTGTCCACTGTGAAGAACATGACTTTACATGTTATGTTATTTAAAAGAAAATACATTGCTGCGTACTGTTTATTCGTTTAACCTAATACTGAAGAACTGTTCTCTTTGTTATTCCTCTCTGCCTCCAGGGGACCATTTGGTAGGGAAAAGCAGGCGATGTAACAATCTGTACTTTCAGTTTTGCAGACTGAGTACACAGTTTAATAATTGATTTCCTGGAAGTAACTTTCCTCCAGGATATAGACATTGTTACACAAGCTCCACCCAGCCAGCAGAGACAGCAGCACAGAAAGAGACCTGAACAAAAGGCTTCTGTAAGAAATGTGCCACTTTTGCAAAAACAAATCTCCCAAAACACTTGGGGAATAATCTTGCAAGACTGTAAAAGCACAGCCACAAAATATTAAACTGTAGCTATACTGTTAAAACAAATTGCACTCTTCTCCCATTGGAAGATGCTAAATATCTCCATAACCTTAACAATCAAACATTAAGAAGCACTGATAGCAACAGCTCCACCATTACAATGAGCGTCTTTGAGCACTAGGAAAAGCGCTATACAAATCCAATGTATTATTATTAGGGCTGTCAAGTTAACGCAATTATTTTAACGTGCGATTAACGCATGTGTATTTGTCCTCGGCCCGCCCCGTAGTTTCAGAGCCCAAAGGCTTGACGTTGTTGTTGTTGTTGTTAGTTGGATGGTGGGAGATTCTAGCGAGAGATATGGATACAAAAAAAGGTGTTTTAAACAGCAAGCCAAGCACACAGCTGATGCTGACAGCCCCGCTCCTGCTGCTCGATTGCGGGGAGACGCCTGGACAACAACAGCGATAGCTAAATGGGTGGCTGCAGCTTAACATTGTGGAGGACGAGGGGCTGCTTTAGATAATTCGGATCGCATCCAACGTGTCGACTGCACATCACAGCGCATTATTGCAGTGGGAACTTCAGTCTCATGCTTTGACTGAAGATGAAGACAGAGGAGCGGCATTTCGCCGACAACTTTAAACAGGCTTATCTGTTTGAGCAACTGGCTCAGTGCAAAGAAGTACACAGGGTTGGGAGAGAGTGTAAGAGAGAGAGAGAGAGAGAGAGAGAGAGAGAGAGAGAGAGAGAGAGAGAGAGAGAGAGAGAGAGAAAGAGAGGTTCCAGGTTGTTGTGTTGAGAATATTCAGGAGAATATTTGTCATTGTTCAGAGGTTGTTGTGTTGAGAATATTCAGGAGAATATTTGTCATTGTTCCAATGATAATAAACAAACATTTGCATAAAGCATATTTGTCCACTCATATGTTGATAAGAGTATTAAAAACTTGAAAAATATTCCTCTAAGGTACATTTAGAACAGATAAAAAATGTGCGATTAATTTGCGATTAACAAATATGCACCAAAAAGATTAGACTGCTAGATTGTTGTTCTCTTTTGCAATGTTTAACCTGGAAAAATATAGTGTGTCCTTCTTGACGTTGTTTATAGCTTCTATTTCTAGATAAGAACATACAACCTAAATGTTTATTTTTTCAATACCGTGTCTAAATATAATATAGTTCTAAAAAGGTTTGAATTATTGCAAGAGTTGGGGAGATACAAATAATTTGAGATTTGGGTCAGGACACAAATCCCAATGTCACCAAAGGTAATTTGTTAAATTGTTCAACAAGCTGAAAGATGGGATGATGATGTATTTCTCTTCAAATCTAAAATATTAAATAATTTACAGTTCAGATACTTATTCAGACACAGACATTTCTTGTAAGACGAGTAAAAGCCATATCTTTTATGGCCAATATATATTATATATACATTTCTCCACCTACTCTCACCCATAAATATCCTGCTGCTACCTCATTTGTTCAGATGATTCCTCACATAAACCACAGGAAGCACAGTGTGCCATTCATTATGTGTGTCACATGCTCTCTTCTGTTATTTAGTACACTTTTATGCTGCTTTCATCACCAGTACGATGTCGCCTGCTGTGCAGATCTGTGCAGCCTCCGAACAAAGTGAAAACAAATTCACAACAATTCTCATGTTCACTTTCTCCATTGAACCCACTGCAATATTTCCATAAAGAATAATCAATAATAAAAAGAGTTTGTGGTGTCACACTCTAAAGGGTCCTAACGGGAATGTCTTTTTTAGGAGATTTTAAAGATCCAAGCCGCCTTTAAGCACAAGTACAAGTTGTGTGGGTGGTCAGTAAGATAAGCTGTAGTAATTATCCTTTAAAAACACACATTTACACAAACAACAAACTGTACGCAGCTGTGGTACATCAGCAGGTGTCGCACTTCAAAGTGTCCTAATGGGAAAATGATTTTTCAGGGGAGCTAATGGAGAGAAACTGTCTTTAAGCTGCAGTTTATATTAGACAGCAGGAGGAGTAGTGGTGGTGTTGGTCAGCAGGAAAAAGCTGTCATGGGAAATGATTCAAATGTTCTATTCTTAGTGCACTGATATACTACAGAACATTGCTTGTGTATTTACACTACATGTTTTAGCTTTTACTATACCGGGTGTTTGTATACACACACATATTTCGCACATGTGCTGTTGGCACGTTAAGATTGTGCGAGAACATGTTTTTGCACGCAGATGTCTGTATTGAAAGTTATTAGTAACGCCTGTGCTTTTCCTTTAAAGGCAAGACAAAAGCAAGCTCTATACGCCCAAAGTCGCAACGCACGCACCTACTGCGGCATCATTTTGAAACACTGTAACCAATTCTCTTAATGCGCCAAGTGTTCATCCTCTCAGGAGCTTGAATGTGCTCTTGACATCACTTGGAAATCTGCACACCCTATTCAGTGTGTTCAAATGATCATTTGACCTGTTATTGGAGTAACATGGAGGGTCAAAAAAGACACCAGATCATGAGAAAACATCTGCTTTGGATCATTGATATTCAACTTAATTTTGCGACAACTTCAACAGTAAAGTACTAGCATATGAAAGACCCAAAATCGTTCACACAGCATATCATTATTATGAATATATAAGACCCTAGGAGCAGCTCCCTAAGTGGATTATCTTTCAGTATGCACACATTGCAAGGCACTAAAGCAAAATCCACCAGTCATTTCACTCTAAAATGCACCAAGAAAAACCACAAAACAGCAGAGTCACTGCACGGTAAAAGCTCAAATCAGCTGTATCTCGTACTTACATCCCACCATCATCATGGCCACGGAGAAGATCTTCTCCCCGTCCGTGGTGGGGGCGATGTTTCCGAACCCGATGGTGGTCAGGCTGGTCATGGTGAAGTACAGAGAGGTGATGTACAGAGAGTCTTTGCCCGGGCCGCCCTCCCATTGGCCAGAACCGCTGGCGTTGTAGCGGTAAGGCGATCCGATGCTGAGAGCCAGCTGGTACAGCCAGCTGTCCATCTTGATGGTGTTGGTGGCCTCGTCGATGACCTCGTAGTCTCCGATGCTGTACCTGTTGAGGATAACATCTAAATGTTAGTGTGTTCAGGTATGAAAGCAGAGCAAGCATAACTATCCACCTTAAGACCCGTAAGATCTACCGTCTTTCTTGTCTTCAATATTTTTTTTGTGGATGTTGTAAATGGATCTGCTGTGATGCACCTATAACTTTACGAGCATCATATTGTAACAGCCCAGGAGTAAATAAGAATGTTTCCAATGTTTACCCCAGACTGTGTTGCTCTGTTTAGAAATGTATGTGGAGTTAGAATGACCCTAAATGGAGCAGTAATGGCTCAAAAATATTGCTGTTGTGTTTAGTGTTATTGATTTGGAGTATTTGCAATTAAGGAATAATTGAGAAGGGATTTTGTGTTTTAGGGGAGCAGAAATGGTTTGCTATAGGGCACACATGATTAGCAAATCACCTGATACTGTATGGAGGAAATTAAACAAAGCCTGTAGTCAGCAGAACAGCAGCAGATGCTTTGTGATATCAGTACAGGTGGGGAGGGCTGCAGAAATGTTTAGCATACATATCCAATTAGGAACAGTGTAAAAGAGAGCGAGCAGGAGTTTTTAACAGCTCTAAACTGTGAGGGAATTATAAACATTTCCCTTCAGTGATTAAAAACTCATAACCTAAAAAGAGTTTACCAGATGCAGGCGAGCCAGTGAGCCACCAGTCCGAACACACACACCAGCAGCACCAGAACAGCAGCTCCGTACTCCAGGTAGTGGTCCAGTTTACGAGCAACACGGCCCAGACGCAGCAGGCGGACCACCTTCAGGGAGCTGAACAGACTGCTGATGCCCTGAGGAGGAGGAAGAGGAGGAGGAGGAGGAGGAGGAGGAGGAGGAGGAGTGAGAAAAGAGGACAAACAATTAATAAACAGAACAAGAAATTGGAAAAAGTTTGATTTCTAATGTAAAAAGTAAATTGAAAACAATAGTTTTGCAGAGCCCCACCCTTCTAATGTTGCTTTGCTTTCCATTCAAAATATGTAAAAATATAGTTAAACAATATTTCATTGGCAGATGTATCCTCAAAATTATAAGTAGTTTTTTAATGCAATTGCTCATTGATTTCCGACACATGCTGCCTCGCATTATATCAAATAATACCATCTTTATGTCATTTGGAGACTTTATCACTGTATAGCATTTGTTATAAAACACCTCCTATACATGCAATACTATATGGGTTTTAAAAGCTGTAGGCAGCAGTAGTTTCAGTAGATTGTAGAGAGTCAAAAGGTTGTATAAGCCAGGAAAGTAAATGATAGTGTAAAGGAATACAACAACAGTGTGATTAGATGTTTTCAGTCTGCCCACAAATAAATAATGCTTAAAAAGAGCTTTATATTCGTGTTTAAAAAATACACAAAGGAGTCTTTCTGCAAAAACACCTACACACAGAGTTAGTGAGAAAGGTGTTGAGATGCTCTATAACAAAAGTTTAACTTAAATCCACGTACTTACTGCAGCAGGTTTTTCTCATAATACTAATGTATTTGCTGTGGCTCTTTTGCATTCTGAGCCACACTTCAACATCCATCAAAATTACTTCTAAATGACTTTTTTGTCAATTGTTATGCAGCTCTAAGCTCAAGGGGAAACAAGAAAACTGAGAAGACACTGTTATTTTCATACTCAATAGTTTTCTTCCAAAAGCAGGAAGTTAACCCATTAAAACCATCAGCTTAAACCTTAGATACTGATCACAGATTGTGACATTTTGTTGGCCAGTAAAGTGAAACTCAAAGCAGAGAGGAAAAGATACTTGATAAGAGAAATCTTTGATTAAAACAACATTGAGTGTTGCTATACTTTTCTGTGGCTATTGTTTCCTGAAATCTATAATGTCTAGGATACTGTACTTTACTGATAGCTCCCCAAGTGGTGCCAAGACTAACTCCATTTTACACAAAACTAACAAGGGTTGTGTGAGGAACTACACTACACACACCATGTGAAAACTATCCTTTGTTTACCTTTGGAGATTGTGCTACAGTATTTGTTTCACTAAAGTATCTATCCTTTTAATTCTGAGGTTGTATGAGGCCATTGTAAGCTAACTTTTAACGCTTCACTAAAGCTTCCTGTCCATTGTACGCCTCCAATAAAATCACGACTCAAAGTGCAATTTATGGCCTCTAATAAACCCACCCACATTACAGTGCAGGGTACTAGGTTGTATTGTCATGTATGAGCAGAGTGAGGGGTTAGGGTTTTGTTGTATGTGTATACATTTGGTGAACAAAACCAATAATCATGAGCGCAGAATAATTTCATCTTTTAATAAAGCAAAGCATGCTGCTGTCGAATAAAGTAAGATCACATGAAACGAAATTCAGCAGCCACAGCTTACACTTTCACTGTTTAGGGTAATGTTTGTTTCTGGAAACAATACTGAGGACAAGTATCATCTTACATGTTTGTCTTCCATCATGATAAATTGTTATAAGTAACAAAATATCCACCCATTCTTCAAAACTTCAAAATGTTGAGGTTTAGTTAAAACATTTAAAATGGACGGGATATATGTTCATATTAAAATAAAACTCAATTTAAAGTGGACCTATCATGCTATATTTGAATAATATATTGTAGGGCCATACTTATATAAAACATGTCTGTGAAGTTTCTTTTTCAAAATACCAAACAGATCATGCATTTTAGCCATGCCTCATTTCGCTCTATTTGCTGTATTCCAGCCCTGTTTTTGCAAGGGCTGATTCTGTGGCAAATGAGCTGCAGCTGACCACGCCCCCCTGCAAAGGAGGGGGGCGAGGCACGAGCGTCATGTTACCATGTTGTTACCATGTTGTTACCATGTTGTTACCATGCCACGGCAACCTCTCATTCCCCTGATAGGTGGAGAGTTGCCCATATAGGCGGAGCACCCCGTTTCTGACGTCAGAACAATTTCATCAGCTCCGTTGCAGCCCCGTTTTTAGAGATTTGGGTATGGAGGAAAAGAGAGGGTTGTGTTTTCTGACACTTGGCGAGTTCCCTGACACACCGGGGACACATATTCATGTATAAAAGACGTACAAAAGTGCATTTTGCATGATAGGTCCCCTTTAATGTATACTTATCTGCACAGTTTCTATCATATTCTGTTTCTATTATTATATATTTATTTATTTACTTGTACTATTTTATCTGTTTTATTGTGTTGCACTGTTGGAAGAGCCTGTGACCTAAGATTTTCATTGTCATAACTGTAGCTATGCACACATGACAATAAAAAGCCTTGAACTTAATGTATTAAATCAAGTCAGGTGAAGGACCAATTTATTTACACTTATTTGTACGTTTCATAATTTCTCCGGAGAATGTCAGGCACTTTAATTCTTCTGTAAATGTCTTACTTCGTACATATCTTGGTCACAGTTCTTTAATAAAAAAACTAAAATAACCTTCTCAGTAATCCAGATTTCGCCAGGCTTTAATTTGAATGCATTGCACCACAGGGCCTTGCCACACAGTCCCTCACCCCAAGAGTATTGTTGGTTAATTATTTCCTGCCCTAGTGTAGCTGACCCTGGTTCTTTATATCCTGTTCTCTAACACACACTTCCTCAAACACAGCAAGCAGAGGAAAAGGCTTAACATAAACAAGAGTGATTGTTTTCAAGCCCAGAGCCCGAGGCGTCGGCACGCTCTGCACAAACCGTTTAAACACCGTCAACAAAGCCGAGCAGCCGGGGCTGTACAACCTGAAGATAAATATCTACAAACATTTAAAAAAAAGAATTACTCTCATTTTGGAGCATGGAGAGAAAAATGTACACAAACAGCAGGTTATCTAATAATATAGGATATGATGTTGTGTAATTTGTGGCGAGTTGCTCTCTACAGCCTTTTTTAAACTCCTCGCTCTTCACACCCATCCTGATGTTCACTTTCTGCCTTAAACCTGTGATCAGAACAGCATATGTCACCTTTTTTCAACTTGTGACCCCAATCTAACCCCACTAACAGAGCTATGATTCGCTCTTCTGCTCCACACGAGACATGATTTGACTATAACATCTGAAAGTGTTCAGTTTTCATGATAGGAGGACTTGTATTCATGTACTTCAGTCAAGAGTTTCCTGAGTCTTTTTGGCACTATGCATCATGCATTTCTTTTAGTTGAGATTAGGCTAAAAGCTGAAACATGTTCCCTGGGTTTGTCAAAAATACATTTCCCTGTACTCCAAAGTAAAACTCTAATATCTCTTGGATTAAAATGGTATTTAGTGAGCATTCAAATAGTAAAGCACCCATAAGGCTTTTAAAGCATACAAATAAATGAAACAGTCCTAGTATGAGCATATAAAGACAACAATGCTGCAGTTTTTTAAAACATTTCAGTTTTCCAACCATCTACTACACTTATAACTTGTTTATTTGATATTCAAGAAAAACCTTTTTAGATAAAAAAAGGAGCTATCAGAGCACCATAAACTCTCATTTAATTAGTTTCAGAATTCCTTTGAAAAGCTCACAGAATAGCTTTACACTGGAATAAGTAACAGTCGGGTCTGCAAAGAACATTTACTTCAGTATTTCATCGATATTGGCAGCGTTCTGAAAAAAATCAATAAACTGCTAACTGCTCCTTGGATTCACATGAAGTAGACTTGTGGATTGGAGTCTTTCCAAGGAGGTTATCGGGTCAAATGGTTTCAATGTGTTAATGAAGTTAATCACAGTGGGATTACTAATCAAGGATAATTAGGTTACTCGGAGATTGCCTGTATCAAAGGGTTTAAAAAAACAGCCAATTTACACTGAGCTCCTCCTTAAGAAATATTCTTGACCAGCCTCCACTGGACACTCGTGCTTCTAAGCAGTTGACCAATCACAACGAAGCCGGCGAGCTGACCAATCAGAGCAGACTGGGCTCTGGTTTCAGACAGAGGGTGAAAAGAGGTGCTGCAGCACTAACCCATGAAAGCATGGAGACATGTCCCAGTAGAGACACTAAATACAATATGAACCTGAAAATGAGCATATAGGGCCCCTTTAAAACACATTTGGTCATTTATCACAATTGCAAGGAAATCTTGATATGTTTATGGTGACACATGAGCTCTCACTCTTCCTGCAGGTTCTCTCTGATCCCACCGCCCCCCCCCCCCCAGCCATGCCTCTCTGCAGCCACAGCTTCAAAGGCCTCCCATGGGACTCGGACCGATCCCAGCTCATATGTAAATGCCTCTAAATTAAGAAGCCACAGGAAAGAGCAAAACAGATGAAAAGAGCAATGCATGTAAAATCATGGCTAATAAGCACCTGTTTATCCCGACAGCGGCCGGTGAAGTGAGACAGAGATTACGTGTCCACGGGGAAGCTCTTTTCACAGCGGCGGCTCTTTCTCTCATTATTTTCTAAGCAGAAAAAGGCACTGTTGCATGGTCCTGACAGCGCCGGGGGCTTAACGTGTGTTCAGGGCTCAATCCGATGAGCATTAAAAATGTGAAAAAACGTCTCAGCTTTTAGACGAAAGAGCGCCATGCTTCAATTGAGTTTCAATCGTCACCCAACAAGAAGTACATTCCCCAAGCAGGAGAAGCCAAAAAGTACAGGTGCTAATCCCGTCACCATTTAACACCAGGATAAACGTCAAACTTTGAGGATTTTTGGCATCACGAAATGCAATTGGTTAAGCTTTTGTTCTTAACGTTGACACATTGAAGACATTACAGATAAACTGTGGGGATTAGTAGAGAGAAACAATAACCATCAGACTGTAGTATCTTGAATTATTTAGATGTTCTGGTTTTCCTTTCATCTCTGAGTCTCTTTCACACCGTAAACCAGCTTTATATTTTGACTAGTTCTTTCTAATCCTCTCACTTCATGTCCCCCTTTAGTGGACCTTGTCCCCACAGGAAAAGCAAAGTTGTAACGAACAACTTCAACAATGACTCTGATTCTGCCAGTAAGTAGTTATAATGGCCGTCAGTAACTCACATCTCCCACTTTTAACAGCAAGCAGCAGGCTGAGTAAATGGCTTTTTGCCACTCAGCGAACAACATGACATGAACGCAGCATTTGTGTGTCATTTCATCTCTCCGTCTTCAAACGAGCAGGACTAAATAACATTTGGTGAGTCAGCCTTTTAGGCGTTATGCTCTGAGCCAAGGTAGCACACTGCACGAGGATCTGAGAGCTGCTGGAAGTCTGGAAAAGTATAATTCTCATTTAACATAATGCTCTGCGGTGGGGGGCATTTTGAGAATATCGATATTGATTTCTCAGGAAAACAAAGCTATAGTTATAACACTTTTCAGTACCTCTGCAACTTTGTCTTCTTTCCTTCCACTAAATCTCCCCTTGATTTTTACACCCTTCTAATTCAAGCATTCAAGCTGGCTTTTCCATTCTTCTTCTCCTTCGTCTTCCCCTCCCTCTCTGCGTGTTTACATGCAGGGGTTAATGCCCCTCGCCCCCCCCTGACTGCACGGTGCACAGCTTCCTCCCGGCTCTCTCAGCCTGCATGCCACGCAGAAAGGTCAGCCCGAATTAGACCTTTCTACGCCTGCCGGCACCCTCCGTGTCAGCAGGTGGCTTCGGGAGCTGTGGGGGCCCTCTTTTCACACCCTTCTCCGCTGCTGCAACGTGACGGAGAACCAGCACAACTCCACTTGCAGATCTTACATCATGTTTTTACAGCGAGAGCTCGAATACTTTGGTTGATGTAACGGCTGACCTGTAAGTGTCTGTGTGTAGGTGTTGCTGTATCTACAAAATGTCAACAGGACATAACAGAGAGAGACAATTCTAACACCTTAAAAGAAAGCTCTGTTTCTGTCTTTTGTATTGGTAATAATAACATTTTACCCACATGCTCCAGAGCCAAACGCATTACATAAACGCCCAACATGAACCCTCTCCTCTTTGAGTTGGAACAGCCCCAAATGGTTGCAATATCAAAATACATCTAGAGTCTAATATCAACCGATTAAATACACACCTACTGAGATGATGTGATTAAACCCGTGAAAACCCTGCCCACATGTTGTCAAAAACGTAAACGCAAATTATTTGTCATTGTTTAAGCCACATATGTTAAGCCACACTAATGTTAAAGAATTGCTTTATTTTGAGGATTTGATGAAGAAAACTTTTAAAACTTTTAGTTTGTTTGGCAAAAATCAATTTGAGGGTGAAGACTTATGACACTTCATAGACTTTAAACTTAATCTGTAAATCAATAATCAACAAATCAAGGCATGGTTACAAATATGCAATAAGAGGTTTTCACCTATGCAGATTGTTTCCACAAAGTTGGAGAGATGAGGAAACTTCTCTAATAGAAAGGAGATAGTTATAGCCTTGGACTTGTTATGTCCTCAAAAGTCCTGTTTATGTGGGTTTGTGAGCATGTTTGTGTGTGCACAGTATATACGTGAGTTGGCAGCACCTGCTTGGCATGGCTTGACAGCGTCTTGAAAAAAGACACACCTAAAAATACTTCCTGCCTGCTTCAGCTATCAAGGAAGCAACATGGGGAATTCAGTCTGCAACGAGCCTATAATAATCTCTGCCATTTTCTCTCACTCTACATCTTAAGCCGCCCACACTGCCCTCAGTCAGCATCCATCTATTCCTCCAGCCTGCTAATACGGGAACAGCAACAGAAACGGCCATTTAGCAAAGAGAGGAACAGTGACTCTGACTGTGTTCTGTTCTTTAGTGGCTGGAAATGTACGTGCCATTGATTTCCTTTCAGTCTGTCTCTACCCCTTGTGACAGTCAGCGGTTTAAAAAGACAGCGAGAGAAAATCTCCGCCCAGCGGTAGCTCATCAGATCCATCAGCCATCGGGAGAGTTTCGAAGGCTGAGAGACACCTGAACAGAGACGCAGTTAAAGACACTTACTGGAGGATCCACAACTCGATACAGCACTCGGTGTGGTTGTGGGAGAAAAACTCCCTCTGGAGGTAACACAAAAAACATGATAGGACCGATATATCAGTCCCAATCAATCCCATGAGAATGAACAAAAAAAATGTCCTCACCAAAAGTGCCACAAGGAGAATGAAACGGAGATGTTTGAGAGTGTGACTTTGACATGGCTATAGGTTACTTCGACAATTAATTGTTGAGTTTATGAAATACTATTTTATAGTGACACATGTCAATTACAGAACATTTCCCCCAGGGCCCAATGAGAAGTCTTTACATTTATTATGTTGTCCAAAAGACAGCCAAAGCCCAAAACATTGCTAGTTTTAGTTTGAACCGGCAAGAGTATGCCAGTTGTCGTCTGTTTGATGCATTAACTTGAGTAATACAACATGTATTTTCATGTAAAATGCTTATAGGGGTTACTTCACCCACATACATATCCTGTTGTGAAAAAAGAAGGTGGTTTAAGAGCTGCTGAGAACTATTAAAAGTTTTAGGTCTAATGTTATTCAGTACAAATATAAATTGCTGAAGGAGGTGTGAAGTAATGTTTTGGCATACTAAAATAATAGATGCTGTTAAATTGAGCTGCTGGCAGCTTAAAAACTGGTATTAATATTATTATTATTATTAGTACTACTGGCATTTAAAAACTCATGTAATTAAGCCCCCACTGGCAGACACACAAACACACACCCACAGCATGTGTTCACAACAAATACACACCCGCTCATGAATACATTTAATGTTCAACCATAAAGAAAAGTGAGAAATGCATGTGTACAACATTTGTTATTTTTCATTTTGCATTCAGTAGATTCCACACAAGCTGTGGTCTAATTAATTCAGAGGGAAATGAAGTGGAAAATCCCCTCTAATGGACTCCAGGCCATATTGTTATAACTCCTCGATATGTGATGGGTGTAAATGGGCGTTAAATAGCAGGAGCGATCCCTCAAAGGACATCAACAAAAAGAACAGGTTAAGGATCTAAAACGTTCATTCCTATCATTTAATTTAACTAATTAAAATTGCACGAGATCAATGTTTCTGTGAAACGACTTTCACAGGAAAAAGAAGTATCAATAAATTAAAACCAAGACCAGGAAATCATCTTCAACGCCGGATGAAACTCTCTTTAGCCACAATGGAAAATCGTAACCAAATCACACTTGATCCTAATTTAATTCTACATGCTAGCAGATTTAAATACATCAGCATGTCTTTGGAATGAGTATATTGACTTTTAAAGTATTTCAATAATGAATTTCAAGCTATCACACCACAGCCTGCTGAAGAAGACTTGTGGAAAGTTAGACATTTTCCAATTACTTTCCCACTTTCACAGGCAAACTGCCATCCATTATCTCGGCCAGAACAAAAACAGAGCGCCATCAATTATTAATCAGTAAACTTAATGAGCTTATGAACTCAAACTGGAACCTGCTGTTGTGCCTCACACACGATAAACAGCCACACTTGCAGCTTTATGATGCTCACAATGAAAATAAACATAGCTGATAGCAAGAAAGCTCTTCTATGCTGACCATGCAAGTGTGATAGCATGCTACAGGTTGCTAATTAGCACTAACTACAGCTCACATTGTTGCCATACAATGTGGCATTTTAGTCAAATAAACAACAATATTTGTCCTTCTGGTGACCCAAGGTGAAAGTTCAGGGATTCCCAAAGTCATTAGGATACAGCGTCTGACAAACCTGAATGTCTGTACCGAGTGTCAATCTTTCAATCCTTTGTCAAGTTGTCAGGCAGTGGACTCAACACCAAACCTACCCCCCACCCCCCCCACCCCAGAGTCTGTGTTTGTCACATCCCTCCCCAAAACATCTCAGTCTATAATTTAAAAGTCACTTCTCCATCTCTCCTTACAGAAATGCTCTGTTGTTTCTGAGGAAGGGACACAGGGTTGACAGATTTTGACAAATCATATCCAAAAGCTTTCCTCCTCTGTCTGTCCTTTCAGTCAACAAACTAAATCTAAAACCTGCTCACTTTTTCTTCCAAACACACGGGGAGAAGATAAATGTATTCCTGAGTCAGAGAGCCATTGCATTTGAATTTGGTATGTACATGTCGAAGCCTTCTTGTTCTCCCAGTTTTAACATCTTTCGGGTGGATTTCCTTTCTTTAGAAAACTACAGCCGACGAAAGTGGAGTTTTTAAGTAGCAATTCTAAATGTATTTAGTTAGGACTACCACTGGCAACTAGTAATGTACTGTATACTGATGGCTCTGGTACATAACAGAAATTACATTTAGCTGAGGTATATGTTATAAGTGAAGGTAATAGAGTGGTGCATACATTTTGTAGACCAACTTCAGTAAGCAGCACAACGGTTTCCTCAACAACAAATATTTTTGGAATATTGCCAAGAAATCAGCTCTGTTGCAAACACACTTTAATGATACTGGCATGTTTTAGTCAGAAGGAAAATATCAAAGTATTAACACCACTTTTATTATTTTGAAGTGTAAATGCAATCACCAGAAGTAAAAAGTTAACGCTACAAAGGAACGGCATGGCTGTTGCATAACCTCGCGTCTCCACCACTAAAGACAGCTAACATTTTAGCTAGTTTCCATGTCTATTCTTTTGACTTTTTAGTTACTGATTTTAAATGTACCTACATTTTGTTCTTTAATGCGTCTCTATTGCACTTTAAATTAATGCTTGTATTGTTTTATAAAGTACTTTGAAATGTCTTGAGCTAAATAAACGTGCCTTTCCATGCCAACCTTTCTTCCAGCCAATCAGAGCCCATGAAGCAGATTTAATAAACCCCAACCATACCTCATCCACGTTCTCGAAAGCGTTGATGATGTCGTACGGCAGGCAGGACAGCAGGTCGATGACGAACCAGGTCTTCAGGTAGTTCATGCGGATGAGCTTGGGGTCGGAGATGACCTCGCCGCCCGGCCCCACGAAGGTGGTGTGGAAGTTGAGGACGATGTCCACCAGGAAGATGACGTCCACCACGCTGTCCAGCACCAGCCACACAATGTTGTTCTGCTTGGTCTTGAAGGACACGTTGTAGGGCACCATGATGGCCGTGTAGAAGGTGAGGATGAGGATGACCCAGTCCCAGGTGGTCTTGAAGGTGCAGTAGTGGAGGATGATGTGGGGGGGCGTCTTGGGGGCTTCCTGCTTGTACTGCGGGAGGATGTCCGAGTTGAGCTGCAAAACCTGGAGAAAGAGAAGTCAAAGTTTACCCATAAATCTTTATTAGCTACATTTCTACCCTGAAACTTCATTTAAAAAGTACCATTTAATTTATACTAATTAAAACAGTACATTCAATTAAGAATTAGGGCTCACTTTAGCTGCTAAGTCAGTTCCATCAGTACAATGAATTCCTTAAATTCACTTTAAATAGACTCCCCTCTGTGTAACTGTTTAATACTGCCAACTTTTCAATCTAATTAACTCTCCAACTTACTTTCTTCAAAAACCTTTGATATATTTGTTTAATGTGTGATCCCTTGATTGTGATTTATTTTAGATATAATCTTGGTTTCCTTTTTTTACATTACATTACATTTGACTTGTTAGACGCTTTTATCCAAAGCGACTTACACACTCAATACTGTGGACAATCACCACAGGAGCAATTTGGGGTGAAGTGTCTTGCCCAGGGACACAACGACATGCTGACTGCAGTGGGGTTTGAACCTGTTCCGAACACCAACGCACAACCCACTGCACCACACGCCTCCCTTTTTAAATAAATTCTACACAATCAATTATTTTTTTAATAGAAATATTAACATTTTCTACACAGATGCACTTTTCTATACAGATGGGGCATCTTATTTCGGACGCCAGCATACAGCTTCCTGCCTACTACCAGCCAGTTACCTGCCTAAGACCTGCCAAAGACCAGTATCTGGGAATGTTAAGCCCTCCCACTATTTTCCAAGAGGGCGTTGCCAGATTTTCAATTTCAGGATTTAACCAGGAGATGGCGCTATATATTAAATAACTATGGCCAAACTAAGACTTAGTTTTTCACAAGAAAAAATGCAGATATTATATAAAAAACTAAAGTTAAAATCTTGGTTTTAATGCCCCAAGAGCAATAAATCACCGACCCCCCTCTGAGTGAATACCTGTTAACTTAACATCTTGTCACAAGCTTTTTGGAAGAAAAGACTGACCCAAGAGACCTGTAGTTGACTAATTACAGGCCTCAATAAAGTTCTGCCATTGGTTGTGAAAAACAACGGTGGACATAGTGGAAAGTGGGGGGCGGTATCAAGTCAGACTGGGGGCCGGCTCTTCATCACGGGCCGATCTCGGGCCGATCACGGAACGTGCACGAGCCAATCACGACCCTCGCGTTTCAAACTGTCCAAAATAAGACGCTCCATCTGTACATCTTATGACACTCTAACATAGTAATAATGAATAACTTAATGCTCAGTTGAATGATAATGTATAGGATTAATTTGATTTAATTATGTTTTTCTTCTGTGTATTATATTTTATTTTAGAATGTATGTGTATATAAATAATTACTACACAACAGTATGTATGTATTTTATTATTAAACCTTTTTCCTATAACAGGTAAAACAATTAAACTCAAAAAAGGAAGAAAAAAAGGAAATGAAAATGACTTTTGAAGACAGAACTTCTCTAGCTATGTCTCACACCTTCTAGACTTAGGAAATTAAAACGTTATCTATTTGATCTTTTTCATTCATTATTATTTCTAGGCCAGTTTTGAGCGCAAAGCCGTCATTCCTGATTAGCTGATTAGTTCACATACACTGAGAAAAGTTTTATTTATTCAAATGTACCGTTCTGTTTTGCCATGTTTATACACTGATCTGATTTGGAAAAGCAACAGAGCACAGATGAAAAAGTGATTATGTGAAGGAGGGAAGTATTACATTCAATCTTGTGAAATAGATGAAAGAGATTATGAAGGAAAAAGTAAGCCTGTACTTATTAGTTTCAAAGTGTATTCATAATTACCTACTTCTAGGTAAGTAGAGGGAGAAGTGGAAATATATTACATTTGTTTTTCCTCTCCACTTTTCATCAGTATTCATCTCTTGTGTTGCCCCGTAAAGCTCTCTGTGACAAAACGGCATAATGAATAAATGTGGCTTGAAATGAGGCAGAAAAAGAAAGAAATTAGATACAGAAAATCAGATGAGAGCGACAGAAGAGTTACCCCAAAAGAAAGAAAGCAAAGAGGGCCATTGTGTTTCGCAGTGCAGTAATGATGACTCCTGCTGAGCGCGGCCTTTTTTGCATCACACAGACTCGATTAAATCCAACTAACAGCAGCTTGACTTCCTCTGCGAGACACAGAGATCACACATCAACCATTAAAGTCATTTTACACTAAACTGCATATTATTCTGTTAGTATCCAGCTGCAGTAGATTCACTCTTATATAGTCTGCATCGCAAAATATACAAGATCATAAATTAAGTTCATTTCAACACTCCCTGCTATGCAAAAAAGCGCTGTATATATTTAAATTATCATCTACATAATACTTACAGTGGGACTTCTTTGACAACATGCTCTAAAAGTAACATTTCTATGAATTTGTACTCTGTAAAGTGTCTTTGAGTTTCAAGAAAAGCACTCAATAAATAAAATACATTATTATTATTATGAATATTGCTGTTTGATAATTACTTCTTATACAGACAATAATGGTAATAATATTATTTAAAATGCTATGTATTATATTGTTTATACTACTGCTAATAATGTACTGGTCATACTGCTTTGAATACTGATATTGAAACTACTGCCAATAATATCAATACTTCTTCTGCTGCTGTTTCATCTAGTACTACTGGTCATATTTATATCTCCACTACAGACAATTCTTCTATAAAACATCTTAAATCACTAACTCTTTGCACTTCAAAACTACTCTCATGAAATTGACAGGAGACTCAAAGAAAAAGTCACAATCAAAAGACCTTCTGGTACTTCAGCACCACGGACAGCGTCATGGATTTATCAATACAGGGGACAGTCAGACTGCTGGTATTTCAGAGCTAGGGTCGGTTTCTCACCTGAAACAACCACAGTCAGATAAGGGATCAATAGGTAATGCAGCACTGAAGGTTTATTGGAAGTTAGGGCTGGAGAATTGACCAAGCCATTTGCTGAGACACAGAAGGGACACAGCCTCTGCCCAACTTCGGTTGTCTTTCATTGTCCCCGGTATTTAACTTAACACTTCCATGACTAGATACTGCAAGTTCTGTCCCGAGTGCAGAGTGATTGGCTCCAGAGATGTCTCCTCCTGATAAGAAGTATTCAAAACGTTCACAAATACATGTACTTCTACAGTACCCGTTACATCAGTTCGACTCCTGTACAATTTATTTAGCCACTTGTGAGCGTCCCCTGTTTTTATGACTTTGGACAATCACGAGTGGGGTGTTTACTGACGTCCTTTATGTCGTTGAGCAAAATGGGAAAATCTCTTAAGGTTGTGTTATCCACAGACCTTATTTCAGGCGTTTCATCAAAAACATGCTAACTTAGAGACAAGGTAAGTGGAAGTTGTAAAATGCTCGCCAGCTGTGCCTCTCAGGCTGCAGAGCAAATTGGATCACCTGCTGAATCTATTTAGTGCAAATAGAGAGTATTAGCTTGTAACTTACTTTATTCTTCTGGCAACATTACTTCCTTCTTCCCTTTTAACTCTCCTCTCCCATGCTTATTATTTCACTTTCTCTTCCATCCTTCTGTCTTTCTTTACTTGCACAACTTCCTACATGACTTTCTGTTTCCTTTGAAGGGCCAAAGTAAAACTGTATATGTAGTGCAGAAGTAAGAAAACATTCAAAAATCACCTTGACTTTTAAGTAACTCCAAAAATCCGGCGTTGGAAGAAGACTTACCCAACAGTGCAGTACTTTCTATAGTTTTAGTGTATTATAATCACTATCAGCTATATAAGTTAGAAACAATGACATACCGTACTAGTATTGCCACTTTGATTTCGTTTGCAGTAGTTTTTTATTTGACTGCTATTGTTTTATTGCATAAAAGCAGTACCCTTGTGATTTAGGATGTTCATAAAGTTGGCGGACTCGCAGATAAAAACAATTTTATTTTCAAAATGTAAGCACCAGAAGCCAAGAAATCCAGATTTGTAGTTCTAGAATAAAGACCCAAACGTATTTCAGCGCAGACACACACAAGACACAGACACGACCGACACACACACCACCTTACATATTTCTGAAATACACACCTGAAACTCTCATGAATAAACCAGATCGGTGGGCTCCACTAGAAAAAATAAAACATGAGCCATCTTCTCTCCCCACCCAGAAATCCATTTTCTAAATTTCTAGGAGCAGTCACAATCACACAGAGTGCCCACAGCACCCTGCGTCTGTCTCCCCACCCAACATGAAATATTAATGACACCCGCAGTCCACAGGAGCTCGCCGCTCGCTGTATCAAACCGCTGCAGTTCGGGGGAAGTTAGCGTGTGAGTGTGAGCGAAGAGGAAGGGTGGGGTGGTTGTATTGAGGCCATGGTCATGTGACAACACTTTGCATGCTTGTGCCCGTCTATTAATGCAACGGTGTGTGGCTGCTTTAAGAAAAAAAACGCTTTGTTTGCAGTACTTGATGATTTATATGAGGGTTTATTTGTGCAGAAATAATGTTAAGAGCGGAGTGTGCCACGGCGGCATATATGCAGTTTGTGTTTGCTGAGGTTTGTCCATGGAGCGGCCTGCAGCAGCAACAGCATATAAGTAACACAACAAAGCGCTGTTGGTGTCTTTTTCATTGAAGAAGCACTAAAGTTAAGTTTTGAGTTTAATCCCACAAGTTTAGGATGTTATTTCTCTTTGTTGAAGATTTCTAGAGGCTCCTGATCAATAAGACTGATTAGCGGATGCTGTAAAACTAGTGAGCCGAATGATGACATTTTAACACTAGAACCACCAACGGGTACATTTTACCCGCAGCTGTTTCTTGATTGTATGTCACTTTTTTTCAATCAAATATTCTAGTCTCCCAGTCCGTGACTTTTCCTGAAAGTGTGTTATGTAGCACCCTCTGGTGCTAGTGGACTAAACGGCAGATAAACTGTGGCGCGCTTACTCTAATTGCGCCGTATAAGCGCATAATAGTGCGCCGCATTTGCGCTTCAGATGAGGAGGTGAGGCCCCCTCATAACTGCATGAACCCGTATGGCGCAATACAACTCAGACTGGCTTACCTGTACGTCAATCAAGTGGCAAATGCCATCGTAAGGATGGATGATAGGCTAACTTGAAAAAAATATTTTTCAATGCCAGGCGATCTACCCACACTACCGATCGACGTATTGGGCACCCCTGCACTAGAGGAAAGGGAAAACCCCCAAAAGCATGATAGCACCCCTTCCAGTCTCACTTGAGAGAGAGAACTGGCAAGTTGGCATGATTAAAAATGGTTTCTATGGTTACAGTACATTGATATTTCTTGCAAACTGCTTCAAGACAGCAGCCAAAAACAACACAACCTTAGTATAGTGTACAGTTAGAGGGGTATGGCAGTAAGTAAGTGAGTGCTCACCTCCGCCAGTCTGGACGGTTTGTGGCTGACTTCATGATGGTCTATGGGCGGGGGCTTCGGCAGCGTGTTGCGGTTGTTGGTGAGCGCCCGGGTCAGCCGCGCAAACTTGGTCCATCCTGCAGAGAGGAGACATTAAACACATATTAGATAACATGCATCACAACATAGCTGGCTTTGTAAATGCACACAAACACAATTAGCACTCAGTCAGTGTTGTGATTAAGTTAATGACTCCAATGGGAACTTACTGGAGCTACAAAATATTCCCACAGCTTCCCTTTGTACTTGTTATTCCCAAGTGGGAGTTCATATCTAACCCGGCACAATGTGATCGCACCACTAGCCCTGCCTTGGTTTTGCAGGAATCATCTTCAAATGCATCTGAATGTCCAGCAGCTGCAGGGTTTCTGCTCGAGAGCCTTCAGATTTGCTTTGACCTTCGCATGTAGGCGGGAGAGGAAGGAGAATGTCTCCTTCAGGGGATCGATACAACAAGAATGATACATTTAGCATATGTCTGTCTGGTGAAAAGTAAGCTTAGGGGGGAAACTACTTCCTCAGGGTACATTTTAAAGTTTAAAAAAAGTGATGTTTAGTGGTTGAGTCAGGATGGTCTGGGAGATAATCAACTTGGACTCATTAGCTCTTTTCAAAGGGTTATAACTGTACATGTACATAAATGCTGCAAAAGAGTATTTCAATACTAGAATTGATATTAGACATATTTTAAATATGTCATATATCCAAAGTGTGGTCTATAGTGTATTTATATTTATACTACTGTATAGTGTCTATATTTCTGCTACTGTACTTCCAAGGTGTATTTAATATTCATACTAGTGCTAATAGTGATTATACTTATTAGAACAGTTTTTACTGTATATAGTTTTCATATCCGTCATATTATACTATACATAGAAATGACACTGTGCTTTACTGCTTCTTTTGCCCTTTTGGTTAAACACTAACTAAATAAGGTGAAATCTAATCATATTGTGAAAAAACATCACCTTTTTTGCTTTAACTTAAAATGTCTACTTTGTTATTTTTCATCTCAATGTCAGTTATTAATAAAGTGATTCAACTTCTGTTCTAGTGGTCGATAAGCATTTTATGATACTGTTTTTTGAAATGTCCATTCCTGTTTTTGTCCAAACTGTTAGAGCTAAAGCTTTGATTATGATATTAAAACCATGACTTCTGAGCATGCACTCTTTCTAAATAATGCAGGCCCGTCCAGCAGCCGTGGTCGGTTTCCGGCACCATCGATGCTGAATGAAAGCAAACACAGTTACGGGTGCTCCTGCTGCACTGCTCTAAAAATAAAATGTTTGAAAGGGCAGAGAGCGGCACAGCAGAGGCTCAGCGCATACAGTAGTCACTGATCGGGATCGACCCGGCCCTTTCAAGGGACCATTACAAATAAAAAGTGACTTTGAAATAGCTTTTAACCCACAGGCCTCCAGCCGTCTGTACAACCCCCCCCCCCTTCCTCCACTCTTTTATTCATCCATTCATTCCTCTGTGTGAAAAAAGCCAAACAACACTGACTCGTATAGGCTTCATACAAAGCGTATATTTAATTCATAGTCCCATCACTTGACTTCCCTCCAGGGGAACTGCTTTACTTTTGTGTAAAAAGTGAAAACACATCTAAACATCTACACTTGAAGTGCGTATTCCTTAATGTGATTTTCTATATGCTAATACCTAAACTTGGCTCTGAATCACTATAGATAATTTCTGAGAACATTTACTCAAATTTGTCCTTAAAAACAAAAATACTGCAACTTTTATTAACTTATTATTTTCTGGGTTTCATTAACTACATTTTACACAAAATAATGCAACTGATTTTATGTGACAGTAACTAGTTTAAGGATTCTATTTTTTTCTTACAAGATATGCTGTAAAACATATGGCCTCTGCTGGGTTAGCACATTGAATCTCTAAAGTAATACATGGTTTTACCTCGTTCACACAATATATTTATGAAAAAAAGGTTTATAAAAAAGGGCAGAAATTAAGGGTTGTTTGAAAATCCTACCAAAAAACACCAAATAATTAACTCTTTCGCCGTGATGTGTGTGGCTGTGACTTTTGTAACGTAACTACAAAAGGCCCAAACATTTACATTAAGAAAAACAAACGCAGCTTTAGTCCCTTACTATACATCGTGTTTTGAGCTTCTTGCAGCGTTTTAGGAACTGCAGCACGTTTCTCCAAATGGAAATGTTTTTGACAGCTAGAGCGTGTTTGCAATTGTTGGCTAGATATTACTCCTCTTACAAATTATACTTCAATAATGAGCAAACAAAACCATGCCACACAACTGTAAGGCAAACAGTTGTTATGACACCATTAGAGGCTCACCATGCAACTCCCAGCCAGCAAAATAGCTTTAAATCAGAACCACAGACAGCAGCCAAAGCCACCATTGTATCAATATAGCCAAGTGTTATCACATACACAGATTACAGCAGGTGCACAACATCACCATCAAAGTTAACCAATACATTACCATAGATTTGAATAAACAACCCCACTCCATAACATAATATGTTTCTCCAACACACCTTGCTCTTAGCAAAGTCATCGCTCAATAAGAATGCATGAAAAGGTCAATACACAACACCACAGACTATAACACCCCTTGCTGTTAAATACCAATCAACTATGTGCTATTTGTGCAATATATATATATATATATATGCCGTTAATAACTGTGCAATATATACCTGGCTGCTAAATCCTAAGAACTGTTACAGGATGTGTATTTTGTCAATTGTGTAACTTTCTACTTTATTATTATAACTTTTTTTTTTACTTTAATACTTTTTTAAGCTTGTAACATATGTAACATTATGTAACATTAAGCTGTCTGTGGCTCTTTTTCTGCTGTAACAACGTAAATGTCCCCTCTGCGGGACTAATAAAGGTATTCTGATCCTGATGCACCTATAAAAGTGAATCAGAAAAAGATTGCCTTCCCACAAGGACCCCCGACAGCTTCTGGGCCCCTGTACAGCTGCAGCCGTTGCAACACAGATAATTGTTTTACTGTCGGAGGAGTTTCTGCTGCGGCAGCCTGCTTTGATCTGGTCTGACCAGCAGCTCCTGACATATACTGAACACATCTGAGTCTGTGTGAGTATTCTCTACTTGTGCTGTTAGTCCACAATCATACAGGCTCGGTTCGAACGTGATAGCTTGAGTTGATCACTTTATTGGAATCATTGTGAAATTATAAAATGAACGAGAAGAAGGACAAAAAGTCTCAACTGTTCGGATGACTCACATTCTACTGTGTTTATCATAATCTTCGAGTTAAGATTATCCTGGAAACATAAGCGCAGCCTAAAAGTCACGTAAAGCAACAACTTATAAAAACTACATCACTATACTTATTTTTGTGTTTTAATATAAGAAATCGTGAGTATTTAATGAATTCAGGAAACAAACGTGTCAAATTATACCAAATATTGATCCGGTAAATGCTTAATCAATACAAAAAGACAATAAACACTGAATTAGGTCCAGCATCCGCTAGCTAAAAAGGTACCAAACATTAGCGACTACATTTTTGCTTCAAAAGGCAACTTTTCATCTGTGTCTATTTTTCATTTTAAAGTCACACAGGCTGAATGCTAAGGCTTGTTTGATTTCACTGAAGCAGAAGTGTGACTGCAGGACTTTTTACTTGCAATGGCGTAGTTTTCCATCACAGTATTAGTCCGTTTACTTAAGCAAAGGTCTTAAGTGCTTTTTCTACAGTATACTGCCCATATAGTAGCAGAGATTGCATAATCCACTGTATTGAGTGCATGCATTTGAGAGTACCATGCTCTAATGTGTTTGAGAAATATTAGGGAAGCATTGGCTCGGAAAGCAGACCCAGAACCACTTTCATCATGGAGTAAAATGGAGGAATTTGTCTTGGTTGAATTCATGTAAATACATAGTGACAGCTTACAGGCTCCCACTGTACAAAGTGACACATGAGGACAAAAGGACCGCACTTAAAGCATGAGGGAAACTGCCGTAAATAAGAGGGGTTTTTACGGTTGATATAAATGCTGCTGCTATGGCTTCCCTCAAAAATGCAACACTGTTTGATTTATCGTACTGGAACACAATGGAAGTGGAAATTTAAAAAAATGCGAATGCCTGGGCTAAAAATAACAGGGGAGCAGAAGTGGTGCACGCACCAACAGAGTGATTTCTAAAATGAGATTTTGATCAGCGGTTCCACACCGAGGACGGCTCGCACTGAATTCACAGCGCGGTTTGTCCTTCAGCAGAAAGATGCTCAGCACACAGGCCCTAAAATAAGCTTCTTTCCTTAAAGGGGACCTATCATGCAAAATGCACTTTTGTACGTCTTTTATACATGAATATGTGTCCCCGGTGTTCCAGGGAACTCACCAAGTGTCAGAAAACACAACCCTCTCTATTTTCCTCCATACCCAAATCTCTAAAAAAAGGGGCTGCAACGGATCGGATAAAAACTGATCCAGATTTGAACACTGTCCTGACGTCAGGACGGTGGCGCTACGGCTATTGGGCCAACTCCACCAATCAGGAGGAGACAGCCACGGCCATTGCCGTTCGAAAGCGCTGGAGACGATGTAGTACATATGCCAGGCCTGTAGATGGTGCTGTTCTCACTGAATCTGCCCTTGCTAAAACAGGGATAAAAGAGTGCAAATTGAGCAAAATGAGGCATGGCTAAAATGCATGATCTGTTTGGTATTTTGAAAAAAAAAAAGTATAAATATGCCTTATATAGGTATGGTCCTACACTATATTATTCAAATATAGCATGATAGGTCCACTTTAAGATGCAAGATTCGTCTTCTAAACTCATCCAAAACTTCTACCGTCTCTTCATAAGCAAAATGGGACTTTCAGCACATGTTGCTGCACAAACTTCTGTTGTACAATGTGATTAAATTATCCTTAACATGTTGAGCTGTTCAGGTTTGTAGACAAGTACACTTACAATCAGGTTGGATATTTAGGTAAAGGAGGAGAAGAGGTCAGTAAGTCACTGAGGTTAAGACATGGGCACAGAAGTCCAGACACATTTAGACAAGGTGCTAAAAATAATACTTTACATAATCGTTATTGAGAAATACAAGTGTTGTCCTTTTCAGCAAAAAACATTGCTACCTGAACTAGCTTGCAGGCTTTGCTCTAATGTTTGCAAAAAGCATTAAAGACCAACTAATAAGGCAATTTTATTTTCCTCTGTAGTCAAACTAACTCACTCTTTCTGTATTTTTAATTTCTCGATGTAGATAGGGTCTAATATTTACAGAACATGTTTATAATCCTCAATCTTCAATACCATAGTATACAACATTAAACAAAGTCCAACTACTACTGTACTGAGTACAATTATAGGATTTATCCGCTAAAGTGTTTTGTCTTGGTGCCTGAAGCACTTGTTTTCCAGCCTACTTATCAGACGTCTACCTGGAATGTAGTCTCGCCCGAGGCAGCTGCCGTCTGTGAAGCTTTGCTCTTCTTTATTTCCGTTCTGTCTTACTACAGGATGCGAGATGCTGACAATGTTTACTGTAGCTACTACAGTATACTGCCAGGGGCCTAACTGTAATAACAACAAGTGGCAATTAACGCAGCAAATTATATTCAATTTTTAATTCATAACCAGGAAACAATTGTGTCAAAATATCTAACCTTGTTTCACAAGTCATGGCCACTGACTCCAGTGTTACCTGACAAGAAAGACAATGCAAAACAACCTAGATCTGCTTTTCATGCTTTGAGAATGTACTTTATTTGTTTACATTCTCCATTCTGGTCACACAGGCTAAATGCTAACGCTTGTTTCATTTCAATTGAGCAGAAGCTTGACTGCTGGACAATTACTTGCGAGGCATAACCATAAAAACAACAACATTTATTTGAGCAACCATACATAATGCATAGAGTAAGAAAAGTACTGATCTGCTGCACATGTCCATCCTCAATTACGGCAGAACATCAGCCTTAACACAAAGTGCACACACATGTAAATCCATGCAGTCATTTTACGCTGAGGATGGACATGTGCAGCAGATCTCTCAGATGATGCTGATGTGCTGTGGCGTGCCGAGCCGTCGGAGCAGCCGGAGACGAGACTCGGAGCGAGTTTCCGTCTGCAGCTCAAGCTCAGCTGCCCACGCCTGCAGCAGCGAATCTCCCTCCATCACACACGCCCCCCCCCCCCTCTCTCTAATCATCTGGTGGGTTCAACTGCAGCCCGCTGGACGCCGCTCTGTGACCAGCGTGTCCTCACTGTGGCCTCAGTACTGCTGTAGTACATGGTAGTATTTACAGTCTGGCAGCAGCATGTCGTTCAAACCCCATCTGCCAAATGCAGCCGACATGATTTTTGTTGGGGAATATAACTAAGTACTATTACTCAGTATTATTTTTGACATAATTGTAATTTACTTTAATAATTCCTTTTTATGCTACTTTATACTTCTACTCCAGTACATTTCAGTGGCAAAAATGATACTTTCTTTCTGTTAACACTATTATTACACTCTGGAACAGTTTACATGAGGAGCTCAAGGGATGTCCGAACTTAAAACTGTTTAAAAAAAGGTATGAGGACACCATGTTAACAAGATACAGAGATGACGGTGTTTAATCAGGTGTTTGCAGTTTATTTATTTATTTGGTTTGTTATTTTATCTTTTCTTGAATATCATTTACCTCAGTTATGTATTTGTTTGTTTATTTGTTTGTTTATTTATCTGCTTATTTGTTTGTTTATGTATTTGTTGTTTTATGTTTCAATAACAAATATATTTCTTTAAGAAAAAATACAAATATATATATATATTATATGTTAGTAATTTAGTTTTTGGTAGAAGGGGGTGGGATTAAATAAGTGTAAACTTCTTCCCACCCCTTTTCGGATGTGTAATTAAGTATATTATTGGTTTCTACATAATTTAGAATCAGTAATATTTTTGTATATCAATTTGACACTGATTCATTTGGTATTGTATAATAATTCTCATGTTACATGTTTGTATTATTGTTTTACACATTCGAAATAAATCTAATCAAATCAAAATTATTTAACCCTCATAGTTACTTTGTATATATAAAACACATGATGCCTAAATGATATGATGTACTTAAGTACTTATTAAATTGGCTGCAGGTTAAGAAACTGCAACATTAACATGCTCTTCTGTGAAAAAATTCCATATGCATAATGAGATCTTTGATACTTTAAGTACATTTAGTTTATAATATAACTGTACTTTATTTTATTCCGAAATGACATACTTTTACAAAAGAACATTATTTAACACTGCAGATATTATGTCTGAAAAATGAGAACTTACTCTTTGAAGCTAACCATCAAGTTCATCTTGACGCTAACCCTTTTGTACTGAAGTATAAATGCTACTGTGGATGTGAGGTGGTGCGTTGTACCTCAATGGGAAGGTTGTGGGTTCGATTCCAGCCCTTCAAGTCAACATGTCGTGTATACGAACGAACGGTGTTTGAATATTAGCTTATTTGAGCAAATGGCACAGCTCTGTATGAATGGGGTGTGATTGGGTGAATTATGACTTGTTGAATTTAATCAATGCAGTCCATGTACCATTTAAGATCAAATCATTTTTACTTTTACTTAATAAAAGGATCTAAAAATGTCATCCACCAATGTTTGAAAAGGTCCCTCCCTTACTGGCTTGGTTTGATAGTGCAGGTAACCTTTCATTTTCAAAGCTTTCATTTAAGAAATGTCTGAAAATCTCACAAGAAATGAATCACGAGTCACACTGGGACTGGGACAGCTATTTCAATATCTTCACTTTTGAAATGACCACATTATCACCTAAAAGAAGGCTAACTGTACAGCATGTGAGTGAAAATGCAAGATAAGTTCTTGGAGAACCTTTTGTCCTGTTACTTTGATTGAACTGTTGCTGAACTCGCGTTTTCTTTTTACAAATCACGAAGGATTAAATAATCGAATCTGAAGTTTGTCACATCCTCATCAGGAGCAGCAGCTAGCTGGCAGAGACGTCCGAACACTGATGTGACAATATGACTTTCAGTCAAGCTCTATAATTGCATGTTAAACCCATGTTATTCACGTGTCGCTGAGCAAACATAATGAACGAACAAACAAATCACAAGACAACTGAAGGCAGGTCTCTGCAGCACGGTGGTATGCATGTAAGCACACATGTTTGAGTGGAGCGTGCACATTCAAAAAGGGGGAAGGGTGAGAGATCCTTGTCAAAGGGCAAACACACCCGCTCAGCGGTGCCGAGAACAACTCCTCGGGCAGGAAGCTGACACTGTGCATCAGTCAGGGCACAGAAGACAACACCACCCACATCTCCCGTGATTCCTGACAGCATCCCAACCTCCTCAAACAAAAGCTGACAGCTCGAGACGTTCTCGCATCACAGGGAAACGCGACTCGCTCTTTTTCATCCAGCCGCAGCTCGGCATGAAATAAAGAGTGTGGAGAAAGAAGACATGCAGAAAGGGAGAATGTTCTGAGACTTCTCATAGGGAACGAAGAGGGGAAAAGGGCAGGAAGAAGAAGAAGGGGTAATCGGTTTTGGAAGAAGGCGAAAGAGGAGAACAATTAAAACAGTAGAGAGTGGAACAAAATATCAACTAGAAAGGAAAGAGAGAAATACAAAAACAAGTGTATGAAAATGCCAGTGAGGAGGAAGCTCAGTCATCAATGCTGATGTGTAACAGCTATAATGTTGACCATGTTTAGCGTCTTAGCATAAACTAAGCTAAACATGCTTTTGCTGGTATTTGAACAAATAACACTTTTGACACAATGGTGGAAGGAGGGATTTAATACAAATCATCATGAGAACTTCAGTACCAAAGTTAATGACAATCGAGTCAATATATTTTAAGATATTTCATGAAAACCGATAAAGATTATTTCAATTGTTCTACACAAAACTCCATCCAGTATGTTGGTTATTTGGTGTTCAAAAATGCATTCTACAGGCCGAAAAATAACATAGGTAGGAGGAAGAGAAGTGGACAAAGGTCACGATGGAGACTGAGAAGAACATCAGGAAGATGAGAGACGGAATGAGAAACAAATCAAACACGGGAGACACATACACAGAGGAGGAGAAGAATAACATCCAGAGAATGAAAACATCGGGGAGGAAGATGACAGGAGATGAAGAACAACAAGCGGAAGGAAGATGATGAAGAAACCTAATTAAATGTCCTATCAGAAGCCAACGTCCTTTATACCCTCACATCCAGCCATTTGCTCATACATGTCACATCCTCCCCCATAGTGGTCCTTTTCTGCTGAAAATGATATCCAGTGGTGGAGTGAGCAGCTCATCTTGTACTCTGATCATCAAGTTCTCAAATCTATCAAATACTTCTGTTCTTTATCTCTTTGAAATGATTCTGTGTATCATCTCATAATGAAACACATGTATCAAAAAGAGTCTTTGATGAAACACAGAGAGAGTTTGTGCAGAGATGCTTTTGGCAGCAGAGAGGCACTCACCTTTAGTGGTTTCGTCTTCAATGGGCTGCTTGGAGAGAGTGATGTCTTTAAAGGTGCAGAGGAACAGAACCACTTTGTCGTTCTCGTTCCTGATGGGAGCCACTTGCATGTAGAACCAAACCGGACTTCCTGCAGAGACATTAGAACATTTCAACTGTGTCCTCCTAATTAGCTCTGAAATATAGTGAAGACTGCCCATCACAATCTCCCAGAGCCCAAGATGACATCTTTAAAAGGTTTTGTTTTGTCCAACAAACAGTTAAAAAACTTAGTTTACGATGACATGGTAACACAAATACTCAAACTCCACATAATTGTAGTATATTACAAGAAATAACATCAGTTTGAAAACAACTTAAAGGTGGGGTAGGTAAGTTTGAGAAACCGGCTCGAGATACACTTTTTGTTATATTCCATGGAATGCTCTTAACATCCCGATAGCAATGAATATCTTAAGTGCTTTGACAAAAAATCCATAAAAAAATGTCATCTGTGGAAGCCGTAGTACTGTAAAAAGCACGACCAATCATTTTAGCGCTAAAATGATTGGATGGCCTGCCTGCCTGTCAGCCTTCCATCTGTGCACAAACTTATCTCGTGCCCTCATTGGTCATGTGCGCGTTCGTGTGTGTTGGAGGAGGGGCTCTGTAAGGAAGTGGCAGATTTCCTCCGGTTGTGTATTTTCAAATTCTAGCGCACTCGAGCTGGTTTCTCCAAAATTACCTACCCCACCTTTAAGGAACATATCATACAACAAACACTGAATTCACTATGGACATATACCATCTTTCAAAGTGTACTTTCTTGAGTTAATGTACACGAATTAAGTATCTCTGTTAAATTTCAACATGTTCTTATGTTAAACTGCATATTTAATGTCCACACTTACATTCTAAATGTCATTGCTTTTACTTGCATGTTATGTTGTTATAGTCTGAATTAACTTTGACAATTAAAACCACAATTTGTTTTATTATTCCGACAACACAAGGTCCTCCACATTTTCTAGATGACTTTTCTTTCAAATTGTTCCCAGAATAAGCACACTGCAGACTCAGATTCTGTTTAAAAGTGGTAAGTTATTTGGAATTGTGACACAGCTTCAGTATCCTCACAAATCAACTGTTAAATGAAATTTGGAGACTAACATTAAATAAGATGATTTTATTCTGTAGAACAAATCCCGCCGTGCTCACAATAAAAGGAAAAGACTTCACCTACGGTCCCCGATCATTTTTAAGAAGAACAATGTGATCCTTCTGCTCTCCTCCCTGTCCACAGCACATGACGTTGCTTACTTCTACCCTTATTATAACTGATGTGGTTTTAACAACTTAATGCTAAGGTCATCACTTTTAGGGAACTCACTGTTCCTCCTGCTCAAACTAGCCGAGATATCCGTGACTTTATTGCCTCCCCACACACTTTTAGGAGAGAAACAAAGTTTCACACACCTTACTGTCATCCTTTCTGTGGATACAAGTTGTTTCTAGTCAAGATCAATTTCATTTATATGCAGCCTCCATAATTAGCTTAAATTTGAGCCATTTTAAAATAGATCTTTTATTTGTAACCGTTTCTGCCTCTTCCGCCTCGCATGGTGCACTCGTAGGTGATCGCTCCTAGGAGACAAAGACCTTTGGGAATATTTTCGTTTGCACACTTTGTCCACTCTGCTCCTCACTGCTGTATGAGCTCTCTCACACTGACCTAAAGAGTCTACTGTTTTTATACCTCTTCAAACTGAATACCTTCAACAGGTCAAGTTAAATATATACTTCATCCATATGTTTGACTTAATATACATTTGGATTTATTAAATCATTCATATTTTTGCTATAAAGATTTTATCGTACATCCATCCATCCATTATGCAGCATAGGATATTAGCAGTGGTTCCTCGAACGCGAAGAGTATGGATAATACAAAATAATGGAATTTTAACATGGTTTCCAGAGAAAGTTAAAGTGGACCTATCATGCTATATTTGAATAATATAGTGTAGGACCATACCTATATAAGGCATATTTATACTTTTTCTTTTTCAAAATACCAAACAGATCATGCATTTTAGCCATGCCTCATTTTGCTCAATTTGACAATTTATAGCTCTGTTTGTGCAAGGGCAGATTCAGTGAGAACAGCACCATCTACTGGCCTGGCATATGTACTACAGCGTCTCCAGCGCTTTCGAACGGCAATGGCCGTGACTGTCTCCTCCTGATTGGTGGAGTTGGCCCAATAGCCGTAGCGCCACTGTCCTGACGTCAGGACAGTGTTCAAATCTGGATCAGTTTTTATCAGATCCGTTGCAGCCCCTTTTTTAGAGATTTGGGTATGGAGGAAAATAGAGAGGGTTGTGTTTGCTGACACTTGGTGAGTTCCCTGGAACACCGGGGACACATATTCATGTATAAAAGACGTACAAAAGTGCATTTTGCATGATAGGTCCCCTTTAAATCAAAACAAAAAATATAACTTATTAAAAGAAATCGAATACTTAATTCAAATACTTAATAATTCCTAGTCCTGCTCAATTCAGATAGGACTGTCAACACAACAGAAGCAATTCTGGAAAATGATAATGATGTGATTTCTATTGTCCACAACAACTAAAAAAGCGAAGGATTTATTAAACCAGCTTTAACTGAATGTTTGTCCACTTAAAGACAGCAGACATTACGTCGAGATATCAAAACCTATTTGGCAAACTTTTGAGAAAATAGTTGTATATTTTCACTTTGAGCAGTAAGAGACAAACATGATCACCCCTGTAGAGTCACATGATGTGTCCACCAGATACATTGAGTCCTATGTACACTTTTGTAAACTTTTAGTTCCATTTTTTATCTCCACCATCTCTTAAGAAAGTATCAGACTATTTAGCTGCAAAATGCTCTCTAACTGGTCTCTAGCTATCTGTGTCTGTTGTTTGCTGCTGAGTAGATAGTGGACAGTGGGCTTTTAAAATCAAGCTGCCTGCAAATGCGAGAAATGGTGCTGATAAAAGCAGTAAATAAACCAAACACTCAAATGTGGGAAAAAAGATTTGTTCTATTTTTCAGAAAAGCAGCTCTGTAAAAAATATGTTTGAAAGAAGAGGTGAAAAAAGCCAAGGAAAACAATACCTTGGTCACTTCTACTTCTTCAACATAACTTTGGAGCACCAACAAGCCTCATACAGTAGGAGAGTATTGTGTTGAAAAAAAAAATAACCTGATCAATATTACCACAGTGCTAAGATTGAGAAATGATTCAAAAGTGCTGTTTTAAGCTTCTGAAAAGTGATGTTTTTATGCTTTCCTGTTTTCTAAATTCTTGGAAGTTCAGTGTATTTCGGTTTTAGACTGTTCGTTGGACAAAGCAAGAAAAAGAGTAGTATTTTTTTACAATTGCCTTCGATTTTAAAGATCAAATGTACAGCTAAGGTAAGCAGCACTCAACAGAGTATTTGATAATGAAAACAATGACACATGGCTGAAGTTGTGAATGTATTGAGCACTCACTATTCTTTCTGTACAGCAGGATCTCAAAGCAGTTGGACTCATAGTTGTCGAACGTCTGTCGGACTTCGTCGATGGACTTCTTGTCCGTCAGCTCTCCGTACATAAAACTGGAAAGGGATACAGACAAAATGAGACTCAATCAATACTGAGATGACCCTTTAACCTTTGCCCTCTGTGTTACAGTAAACCCAATGTGTTTGTAACTGCATTGTCAATCAGTTATCTTACCATGAAGCGTCCATTAGGTGTTGTGCTTGGTTTATAGAGTCAATTATTTGCAGCAGCATGAATCCAGTTCACAGTTAAGGATTGTGGATTGGTTTTGGATTGGTGCAGCCTGCATTTCCTGGCTTCGTTGTAATTATTCCTTAAAAAAGGGCTGAGGACATTTTAATCAGTGCTAATATAATTAGTCTGAGTGATTAGTTTCTTTCCCAACAGCCGCAGTGTCTTCAAGGACACACACACACACACAGCACAAATAATTAGTACAAATATTGGGTTCATGTTTACTCCTTGTGGATGTCAAACAAAACATGTTTTAAATAATATTTTCTAGTGGATTACAAACAGAATTGTATTTTATTTTTGTCATTAATAAGGAGATGTTTTCTGTATGTATTAAAGCTTATATGCATGTGTTAAACATGAATGGGGAAATCCAAACATGGCAGCCCATTCTGCAGCCACATTACATCTTTCCATGCAAATGCAGGAAAGAAGACTTATATAAATTGGCCTTTTAATATGTATTGGACCTGTGAATGCTCTGGAAATGTTGTTTATGAACTTACAAGTTAATCTTTTGTAACAACAGTGAATTAATAGTCCCTGCAACACATCTGAATGACAGGTAGAAGTCACAAAACAAACCACTGCACTTCAAATAAAACATCAATGACACTAACAGAACATAATTCAAAAATGTCAATAACAAGCTTGTGTTTTCTGCCAGCTTTAATTGTGGACGAATGCTGATAATTAATAAATGAAGACACTTTGGCATAAACCCTGTTTGTTAGTAGATCGAATCATAGCAGCGAGAGAGAGAATAAATGAGTAAGAAAGTTTAAATATCCCTCAGCTAATTTTCTTATTGATTAAGAGGAAACCCCTGGTGATGATGAAACTAGAATGATATTGGCATTTCATTCCACATTAACATTTCAAAATATAAACAATAAAGTGTAATGGAAACTTGGGGATTTTGGGACACAAAGCAAGAAGCTACTCTTTAATAATTATCAGCTACTTCCTGTAGCGTTTAAATAGTTCAATGGTCCCTTGTTCAATTTCAAATGTAGGGGTCAGGTTTTTCCCTGAAACACTTGACTTTATAGAGGTCTAAAGAGGTACAACTCTGCAACCCTTGTGACATTATGAATCCTTAATGAGTCTGCACCAGTGTCACAAAGTCATACAATTTTATTGCAGGACAAAAATGACCCCCCCCCCCCCCCCCAAAAAAACAATGGCACTGGACCCCATTAAGGAGCCTCCAGCCTGCATCATGCTGGCAGCAGACCGTGAGTTGGAGCCCTCTGTGACTCTTCAGTGTCTGAGAGCTGTCCAGAGCAGCATGAAGTGGACGGATACATTACACTGCTCGCACTTGGAGTCTTAAGGAGCCTTTTTAGCCACTGACTATTCCAGGCTCTCACCCCAGGTCAGATGTGAGAGACACCGGTGGATGGGAGTCATCCTTTGGAGTAGAATAAAAAAAAAAAACGTCCTGACTGACAGGCGAGAACGACACCGTCCTCAAACTGGACCAGGAAGAAATTGGATTAATTTCCGACACCAACACAGCGGTGTGCCATCTTTTCTTTTTATTACGTGAAACACTAAATATCCTGTAAACTGCTCTCCAGTGCGATGATTTTAATGATCACGACAGAAGCAGGAAGGTACAAGAGATCGTCACTTGTTGATCTTTTCTCTCTCCCTCTCTCACACACTGCTTGAATAATGGATGAAACTGAATAAAACATTGACATTCAGGGATTTCTGCATGATAAATGGAGCACTTTTCTTTTTTAAAAGACACTTTGTCACAGTGTTGTTTTAACTTAATAGGAAACTGGTGCTGTAAAGATATATTGGTTCTTATTAGTTCCACTTTAAATGAAGAATTAAAACCATTAAGAAAACAAAACACCCAGGGGTTACAGGAGACATATAGATTCATTAAAAGAGTGAATGCTAATGTAAAGTAATTATACACATGAACATGTTTGCATATTTAGTTAAGCTGTGAGCGCACTTACAAGAAAGCAACAACACTTATCGCTCCATTAGCACACTAATTATCATTACTTTGCATTAAACAACTAAAGCTATGCACGTTTACACTGCTTTAAGGTTCAGTTATAAAACATAACACAACCATATAAATGGTTTACCTGCATGTGCTGCTCTTCTGCATGACTTCAGCCCTGTGGAAGCCAGACAGCTTGCAGAATCCGTCATTGCTGTAAACTACGGGCCACTCCACGATCTGCGCGTTTCCCAGGAGGAAGCTGGTCTCTGGAAGACGGACAGCAGAGAGAGCACGTCAGCATCAAATAGGATAAACAGATAAAAGGCTGCAAAGCTTCTAAACCTCTTGAGAAGATTGTACATGGATTTGTTATGTCAGATCAAAATATAATGTACAATATCATTTGAAATGAAAGAAAAAGGGACAACCAAAGCAACTGACATCTCTGGTCTTGGGCATTTTAACACTTGTTATACTTGTCTCTACTAGAGCTATTATGAAACAAAGAGTTATGATCACACCGACCAGAAGTAAGGATGTAATACGGGTTGATTTTACAATCTGTTGCACCGAAACTTAGATTTAAACTTGCTTTAAAGGTGGGGTAGGTAAGTTTGAGAAACCGGCTCGAGATACACTTTTTGTTATATTCCATGGAATGCTCTTAACATCCCGATAGCAATGAATATCTTAAGAAAAAATCCATACAAAAATGTCATCTGTGGAAGCCGTAATACTGTAAAAAGCACGACCAATCATTTTAGCCGGCCCGGCTAAAATGATTGGATGGCCTACCTGCCTGTCAGCCTTCCATCTGTGCACAAACTTATCTCGTGCCCTCATTGGTCATGTGCGCGTTCGTGTGTGTTGGAGGAGGGGCTCTATAAGGAAGTGGCAGATTTTCTCCGGTTGTGTATTTTCAAATTCTAGCGATCTCGAGCCGGTTTCTCAAACTTACCTACCCCACCTTTAATAAAAAAAACATCTCTTTGAGTCCTGGTTTAGTCCTTGTTTTAAACTTACACCAACTTTAAACCCTGATCAATATAAACTCTCTATTGATGTGGTTTTAAAGTTGATAATAATTCGTCCTATAGAGCATTTTTTAAGTAATATTCAAATACAACTTATGCCAGATTTAAGTTTTGCATCACAGATGCCATTAAATCTAAATCTGCAGTGTCAGCCATGTTTGTTACAGGCTCTTTAAAGCCCCGCCTTCTTAAAGCAAAAGCCCTCTGTCCTCTTTTCTTGCTAGCCTCTGAAAGCTAATGTACCTTCTCATAGGTTTATTTGATCTTCTATTGAAAAAAAAGGAATATTCAGAAAGTATCAGAAAAGTATTTTGAAGTAAAATACCTCACTTTAAATCATATTTTAAAAGAGATGCTTTATTCTTATTATCTCACTGAGAGACACAACCCTCAGTTGTGTCTCAAAGTCAAGTCAAAGCCAACTTTAATGTCAATCTTACTCAGTTTGTGTTTACAGACAGAGATCGAAATGACGTTTCCAACAATCCCGAATGTAAAATGATACAGTATACAGATATGTATAAAATATGTATATCCTATATACACAATAAACAGACACATTTACACATATGCACACATTAAGATTAAAAAAACAATCAATATATACAAAATAACAGATGAATTGACCGATGACCGTTATAATGTAAAGAAAATAGTTCAAAAAAGGTGCCTTAGTAAGATGTGGTCGTGGTGTTTTCAGGGTTTTTTTGTCAATTGAATTGTGAATCACCATTAGGTGGATCAAAATGTCCAAAACTGTAGTCAAATCATACTAACCTGATCTTATACTTGTATTTATTGACCAAGAATTAGCATAAGTTCAAGCAGCAAAAACAATCTTCAGGCTGAAGCTGAAATACTGTATAAACTGTGAGGACGAAATTATATTAGGCATCTCCCATAGCCTATGCAAAGATATTCACCAACATTTAACATAAACCTGCCACGCCTCTTGTTAAACCTGACATGCTAGCTAGTGGCTACAGTGAAGAAACATCTGCAGTGGAAAAATAACCACCAGCTCCTTTATAATCACATGGATATTAATTATACATTTGATATATTCTGCATAGCTTGGTCACCAGGGAGGACAATACAGGCGGGTGTAACTTTAACATTTAACTTTACATTTCATAAGCTATAGGCTACGTTGCAGTGCTGTAAAGAATGCAATATGACTTCAGATGGATGAAAATCAATCTACAGAGACTTTGATTTTTTTTGCATGAGTTTGGTAATCTATCACAGCGAACCCCTGGGTCAACTTCTTATTGCTTTCGAGATGAAAATATAAGTGAACGCACTAGTTTCACAGGAAAACTGGATTCACACGACTGCAATAACTGTGATGGATGTTTCCAACCAAAAATAAAAGGAAATTATTTAACTATTTTGTCTTTGTGGGCTGTTAAAATGTGTTTAAGTGATTTCAGCGATTAACTTAGGGTATACAAACAATGCTGCAGCAAATGTATGAAAAAACAAGTAATGCTTTTTAATTCCCCAGAGCAGAATCACTACGACCACATTTCAATTAATGAATTAATTATTATTATAAGATGGTGTAAAATAGGCTTTAAAAAGGTATTTTCTTTAAAAAAAGATCATAACCAGCTAAATCTAACATGTATTCCATGCAGGTTAACTCTTCTTCATGTCAGTAAACCCCCAAAGTACCAGTTATGATACTTACAAAAGCACTTTAATGGGAGATTGAGTCCTGAGTACATGTTATGACGATGGCCCAAGCATACAAAAATAGGTTCCAGGCTGTTATAAACCAAAATACGAAGCTTTTTCGTAGTGTGACTATACACTTGCAATTACTCAAAAACTCTCCTTTCGGTGCGTTTAAGGACACTCCACATTCAAGTTGAGACTCAGCTGCTGTGTAATCAAACCCCAGGAGACTTTAGCAACAGACTATGAAGTGTCACATGTTGTCCTTGAATGAGCAACAAGTAGACCCAAAGGAAAACAATACAACAAACATGGTGACAACAATTATATGAATTTCCAAGTTTTGTTCCAGAAATGATCTGCAGGTAAGAGTATCTCCCCAAAAACATATAAGACTTTTAAAATCACTTCCTGTTCCAGCTACATCACTGCACATTGATAACACGTCAATCAACCATAAAGAAACTCAAATCAAGAATCCTGTAAGTATTTGAGCCTCTAATAGGCCAAATAAGGTGCTACAGAATTGGTTTCAAATTAGCCAAAACTTTGTAAGTGCTGCCCACAGGAGGAGTATATAACAAAAGGTATACCAGTGTGTAATTAATGAACTAAAACTGCAGAGATTATTCTTTAACACGAGCCAAATCTGCTGTACTGTTAACTTTGGCAGGTAATCATTCACTACTAAGAGTCTCCTCTTTCCAAAAACTGGTTGAATGAGTTAATTTTGGGATGAAGAAAATGGGATGAAACTGCTCTTTAAATGTGTGCATGCCCAGAAACATTACAAGCATGCAGTGTTTCCCACAATATGTGTTTAAAGCAGGGATGAAAAACCTGTGAAACAGCATTTGAACTCAGAAAATACACTAAAATTCCTGCAGAGAAACACAGACGCAGGAATGAATGACGATGTGTCAGCAGCTCCGTCAGGCAGGTTTTACAGACCGAAGAGTAAAACTCTCCAACAGCATCTGATTGATTTTACTAGGCAGTCATCTGAGGCTATAAAAAGATACTAACTCCAATGAAAATGTTCAAACCTCACAGGTATGATTCCTAATAAAGCAACCAATTAGTTCTATATATCCGTCAAACTTCCCCCAATCATCATGTGACATAACGGGAAAACTAGCATGGTATTTTAGAGCAAGCAAGCGGTGACCTTTTATAAAGTTAATTAACCGCATGAAGGTGTAAGAAGAGGATGACAGGATCACACTGAAAAACTGCAGAAGAAGAGACTGGTTTACTTTATTGTCTGGATTTTTCTTTTTTTAAATCAGTATTTTAAAGGGCCCATGTCATGCTTTTCCGGTTATTACCCGTCCCCTTGTGTGTTATGAAGGTTTTTATGCATGTAAACGGTCTGCAGAGTCACAAACCCTCAAAGTACACCCTGCAGCGAGTAAAACTCTAACACAGAAAAGACCTGTCTATGCTGCCCCAAAATGCCTCGTTGGAGATTTCTCATTTTCCATTGTTTGCTTCCTGGGTTCTATGACGTGTGAACATCCAAATCAACAACAAATGACCGGATTGGTCCATTTGGGCCAATCCGGTCATTTGTTGTTGATTTGGATGTTCACGCGGAGCACCTCAATTGCCCAAGCAATAACTCTGATTGGCTGTTCACACTACCGCTGCCTGCTGGTAAGGACAGTTATTGCCACTCGTCGACTGAAGTATTTGCGGTGTGTTCGTAGGCGGGCGGCGTAGGCGGGCGGCGTAGGCGGGCGGCGTAGCCGACGCAGGCGACAAAGCTGACGTAAAAGTCGGGACGCCTTCGGTACGCGTTCTTTGGTCTCAGGTGGGTGTGTAGCGGCCTTTAGGCTCCCTCTCAAATCCATCCACAGACTTCAACTGGTCCAGAACCAGGATCCCTTGGCTAACTAACAGGGAGTCCCCATTGACTTGCATAGAGCTCCCTGAACGCTGGTAATAGACGAGTTGGGATCGCGGAGAAATGCTCTCCGCAGACCCATTCTCACAGCGTTATAAACCTCTTACTCAATACCAAGCCACACTTATCGTTTTTACTTCGGCTGTGAGTGTTTGTGTGTGCTCAGGATGAGTTTAGCTTGTTCTCGCTGTATCGCCGACCCGGAAGCCTGTCCGCTCCTCGCAGCAGCTCACAGCAACGAGCCTCGCAACGTCCCGACCAATCAGAGCACACTGGGCTCACAGGGAGGGGGGGGCAGGAGCTCCAACAAGCCGTTTAGGACAGAGAGTGAATACTATACAGAGATGCTGTATGAGAAACCAATGTGAGTTTGGAAAATTGCACAATTTAAATCTATTCTAATAGACCTCAACAATGGAATTATGATCAGTAGAAATGGCCATGACATGGGACCTTTAAACAAACTTCTCCTGGTTTTAATGTCTCCATGCATTCACAAGTTTTTGTCTTTCCTGCCACTAGGAAACTGTTTGTTTACTGCAGTTAAAGGGGGCCAGCCAATTAGTTGATGTACAGAAAACGAATCAGCAAATAGTTTCATTATCAGTTAATTTATGGAGAAATGGTAAAGCAAAAATGTCAAATATTAAAGAGGAATAACGTCTCAGTTGTAACAGCTTTTGCACAGTTTCTTTGACAAAGCAAGCGGTTTTATCTCCTAGAACAGCTTTTTCCACTATTTTCTGACCAAATGATTGATTGCCAATTACTTGAGACAATTCTCTGGAGATTAACCAAAATTGAAAGCAAACAGCACCTGAGTACACTTCAGTGAATCAAACAAAGTCTGCCTTAGTCTGATTAAAGTTGAGCAGGCCCTGGCAGTGTGTTCAAAAAGTCCTAAATTGGCCACCGTACACAGGATAAACCCTTTAGACTTAGATTACAATATGGTCTCTTGTTCCACCAACAGGGCCGACTTTACCTTCCTAGTATTTAATTCCTCTTTTTATGTTGAAAACCTGATTACTCTATCTTGATGTGACATATTGCTTTCTGATTCAAGTGCACTGCATTGTGGGTAAGATGTGAGAGGGTCACACCTTTTTAAGCAGAACCATCCAGAACAAAAGCAGCTTCATCTGTTCTCCACCTCTCTTTCCAAACAACTACTTAAAGTGGACCTATCATGCTATATTTAAATGATATATTGTAGGGCCATACCTATATAAGGTATATTTATACGTTTCTGTTTTCAAAATACCAAACAGATCATGCATTTTAGCCATGCCTCATTTCGCTCTATGTGCTGTTTGCTGTCTACGGGTCTGATTCTGCTGACCACGCCCCCCTGCAGGAGAGGTGAGCCGTGCTCTGATCAGCTGCTGGGCTGTCAGAAGAGGGGGAGAAAAAGAGATCTCCGTCCTCCGTGTTTTATTATATAGAGTCGTTATTCATTTGTTTTAAAGCTCAATAAATAACAAAGAAGACCTTTGACCGGCACTTTTCTAATTTTGTCCGGAAGATTTAAACTTTAACGGACATCTTGACCGGCGAAACAAACTGAAACTGAAACTCTGCCGCACGGTCCCCTCGTTCCTTGGAAGAGGCGGAGAGGTGGGTGTTTGTCATCTGCTGGTGGACTAACCGGAGAGAATTACAGTGCTTGCCTCGACGGGGAGGGATTGCATTGAATTAAAGCAGCGGGAGCAAACGCTTGCCTCGGGGAGGGAGAAAAAAAGCCACAGAAGGGTAACCATGGTAACTATGGGCGGGAAGTCTTCTTCGCTGCTTTTGTGGCAGACTACAGCGCCACTTACAGGCCTGGCATATGTACTACAGCGTCTCCAGCGCTTTCGAGCGGCGGCCGTGGCCCAACCCCACATTCCCCTGATAGGTGGAGAGTTGGCCCAATAGCCGTAGCGCCACTTCTGTGACGTCATAGAAGTGTTCAAATCTGGATCAGTCTGTATCGGATCCGTTGCAGCCCCTTTTTTAGAGATTTGGGTATGGAGGAAAATAGAGAGGGTTGTGTTTTCTGACACTTGGTGAGTTCCCTGGAACACCGGGGACACATATTCATGTATAAAAGACGTACAAAAGTGCATTTTGCATGATAGGTCCCCTTTAAGTGATATTTCAGAACAAAAAGGAACTATTGTTTCGTATCACTATCTTGTTTTAAGTGTAAAAAGCTGCCGACCGCAGCTTCTCGTTTGCCCTTTGGTATTAAAGAGCTGACTAAGACTTAAATAAACTGAATTTTCTTGACCTTTTCCTGCTCTCCTCTTTTATCACAACCAATTTCTTAGCTTAGCCAAAGTGCGACCAATCCGGCTGCCTAGAGAAAAGTGAAGAAGCTTCTGGAACAATGTTCGAAAACATCAGGAGACTTAAACTATCCATACTGAAAGTGGACTGTTTCGTGCTAAAAAGGGGGCATTTAGTGTTTATTACACCATTATGGGTTCATCTGGACCAGCCTGCAACTATGACATTATGTTTTACTTGCTTCCATGTTCAAAGCAACTATTTAAATCAAACATTTGTGCATCTTAAAGACTTATTTGGAAATATACTGTAGATACTTAAGAAAACCAGAGTTTTTTTGTACTCTCCATTTGTGTCTTTACTGGTTTTGATGTTTATTAACAAGCATCTTTCTCCTGCATCCTTGGTATAAATTTGATTTAGAAATAACCAATAACACTTTGTTGCAGCCCTGTAGTGTATACAGGTAAGAAACGTGCAACCCTATAGCGATAAACTCCATGTGGTACATGTTACATAATAGGTCCCAAGAATCCCAAACTCGAAAAGCTGCAGCATCTGATCCGAGAGAACTGAAAAGTCTAATAAAGATCTCACACCTTTCCATGGTATTGCTTGAGTGACTTAATAAAAAAGAAACCAACTGCTGCTGAAACTCCCAATAGATCCAGATAACATCCGGAAGCACAAACACTGGAATAACAGAAACACTTCCCTCCATCCACAACCCTGAGTTTCATTCCAGTCAATTACTCTGCTGACTTTTCTGGGAAGATAAAGAAGAAATCAATCTAATCAGAGGAGAGCCTATTTCTCAGACCGGTGCCAAGTCCTACATGCGCACTTAATAGCGCAGATGGAGACATACATAAACATTCTGTACTCTCATAAAACAAAAATGGACCTGAGTAATACTGAACACATTAAGATAATGAATAAAATGAACAGCTATTTAATTATTTACCAGTGGATCACCCATTTACCTCACTTTGTTCACGTAAACACAATGCAGCTGTATTACATAATGACGGAGCTCACAATAAGGAGGTTTATTATCAAAACGTGACTCCCTTCTCGTGGAGACACCTTGTGATAAATAGCAAATATAAGAAAGAGCCTGAACGATTTGATTGTTAATTTATAATCAGATGGTTCCAACGTGTTGTCTGAGCACCTGTCAATATGCATTATGACATATGAGCAAGTTAATGGGGAAAATAAACTTTTAATCTTCTTAAAAATCCTAACCCTTTTTTTTTCAACTCACTTGATCTGAAGACATAATTGGATCTCGTAAAGACAAACAAAATGATGAGGTGGGAAATACAACGGTGCGTAAACTGTGACTCCCAGTGAGCATGTTGCGGTTATGAATACAAATGTTATCCAATTTTCCTCAAGACTGCAACACACGGTGGTCCCAGTGGAAAACAAATCCATCAACATGTAACTTAGACGAGTTTAAAGTAACTTATTATGATGTATAACACCATCACGAAGCCTTACCAAGGGGGTAAACTCCATCACAACAGAATAAATGCGGGTATAAAGTGAGATTTTGGGGGGGTTTTCCTCCACCAAAGCTCCTGGTATAAAAACACTGTATTCCAGCAGAGTACGGGTCCAACCCGGATGGAAATCAACCCCAAAACAAGCCTCGCTCCGGCGCGCAGACTCACCACTTGATCGCCGGACGATGTTCTCCAGGAAAGTGTTCTGCGGTGCCACCAGCCCTCTCTTTCCCCCGGGCATCCTGCTGCGGGCGGACCTGGAGCGGCTCAGGGTGTGTGTCGCTGTATGTGCTGCTCGGAGGTCGGTACTGACGCTGGCACTGTGTCGGACCGATGGAGAAGCTCATTGTAACCGCGCGCTCTAGCTGCTCGGGGCGCACTGAGCGCGAGGAGGCTGATCCCCGCTGCCTGACCGGAGCGCTAGGACGCATGCGTGACTGCTGCTGCTCGGGGCTCGGTGCTCAAAACAATTATATGTACAGTATAATGTTTGTGTAATGAATCACATGTGGATGAAATATAGCACGACGTATCGAGTTAAGACATTAGTCAGCATGTTCCGTTTTGATAGTACATTTGAAAGCTTGTATCTTTTTTTCTTCTGTATCTTTGTTATAAAGCAGATCTTGCAAAATAGTTGATAAGAGTGCATTTTGGAATTAAAGAAGGGATGCAACAGCTCAGACACTTCACAGATATGCATTGTTTCCCATGATGAGTTAAAAGGGGAGAGAAACAGCATCTTCAGTCTGAGTTAAGACATTAGTCAGCATGTTTTAAAAAGACGAATATATAGTTATAAGATTTGCATTTTTGCTCACTTATTCAATGTTTTTACATTTTCTATTTGTTTTAATAACGAGTTTAACATGGTACCACTTTCTTAATAATATCGATAATGCATTAGCATACAAGTCTCTCTTTGTAAAAAGTAAATAATACACTGTATAACCAAATAAGGCTTAGCACCCTGAAAGTAGTTTTTTCCCATTAGGAAAGGCACCATCGTCACAGAAAACAATAACAATGTGTTGTGTTACAGTGAACAGTGTGTCCCTCTGCAGGACTCCCTTTGGATGCTCATTATCTTTTATAAAAGGTTAACAGGGCCCCGAGGAGCCATAAGGCCCGACCGGAGCGACAGAGAGCAGAACATCATGTCTGCTCTGTCTGTCTGTCAACCCAACGCCATCACTGTACTGCAGCCTATCAGAAAACAAAGCTGCACTGAGGATGCCTCTACAGTATTGACTGGGGGAATATAAAGGCTCATGGCTTTAAATAGTATCATATGGATTTAAGTATCATTTCCTTTTTATCATGTCCTGTTATGAGTCGAGCTCAGGTTTCAATAATAAATGATATGTCATGCAAACATTCCATAAATAATGTCTGTTGCTATAACTTGAAGGATTGTAAGTGTGAAAATAATTAAGTATTTCAATAAAAATATAGAATAATCTGGGACAATAGATTTACAATTGGTGACAAATTTATTATTTCCTATCACTTCAATAATCTGGTGACTCTCCGAGGGCTCCCAGCCCCTAATCAATACAAACTGAGAATATTAATTACTTAATAAGCAAGGCAAGGCAAGGCAAGTTTATTTATATAGAACCTTTCAACACAAGGCAATTCAAAGTGCTTTACAAAAATGGAAGCACTATAAGAACATATAAAAAAGGTGGTTAAAACACCATGACGTTCAAAATCAATAACCTAAAGAGGCCCTGCTATGATTTTGTGGTTTTCTCTTTCCTGTAGTATGTGCTCTATAGGTTTGTGTGCATGTGAAATGGTCTGCAAAGGCTGAAATCCCAAAGTTCCCTCCAGAGGGAGTTTTTTTTCCCACCCCATATTTCATATAATTGAACCAGAAAATTCTAGTTTACCCCAATGAGACACATGCATTAATATTATGAATCCTGCAGCAGTTAGTTGTTGGACTGTATCTCAAAGTTTAACTGACAAATCTCTCATCTACACTTCTGTACCCGTTAACACCTGCTGACTCCCATCTGACACTGTCAACCAATCTGTCTAAATCCCCTCCGAGGAGACATTAACAGGATTGTGTGTTTAGCAAACCTACACGTCTGAAAACCCTCCCTTGGGACCCCCTAATTGGCCCACTTGCATCATGGGGTATCAAGCATATGTGACAGCACAGGTTAGACAGCTGCCATTTGATGGAACAGCATCAGCTCTGCAGACGAGCCTCTTCCTCACACACCTGCAAACACACATTTAGTGCACGTGTATTGCTGTCTCAAGTCTTGCATGTATGGAGGTTCACTGATGACAAAACTGAGGTTAGAGAGGACTTGATACTGCATTAGTTGTCTTTAAAGTGATTGCATAAAACGAGGATAGATAAATAATTTGGCTTATAAGAGTGGGTATTACTTCCAGCTATGAGACATAAATAACTAATATCATTCTCAAACCAGAATATATCTGTAAGAGCCACTTAGACACATCGTTTTTGGCAAGACAGATTGCATATTCATTTGAAACCATAACTTTTGTATGGTTTCTTATTGTTATTGGATTTAGTTGATGTTTTAGTGATAGTGCTTTAACGCAGCTTTTAGTGTGCATGTCCAACGGTTTAAAACTGCGTTACCCCAGTAAGATGGTGCAGCCAAATAATATCATTGAAGTATCACTCTCAACTTTAAGGCCTCACAGGTGTCTAAAAGGCTTGTGATCAGTTTGGACTCCAGCAGTCATAAGCAGCACCTGCTTTGTTGTTAGCAAATTGAATGGGACGTTATCATCCTCAAATAAATGGGTAAAAGAGACATGCTATAAGATTCTCCTGACAAGCAGACTGATTTAATGATATGCATAGTTTTCTCATTGATGAACGTCCATAAAGAGTGTTTGGATTAATGTCTGTGAATGAAAATGAAGAGTCAGAGTTGGTGTGTGTGCTGATGTTTGTGTGTCTTTGTACTATCGGCAACCTGGATCTTATCTTGCTCATTTAAAACAGCTGAATATGTGTCAATCTATATAAGTCTAATGTTTTTCTTGAATGTCAATCTTTCATGCAAGGTACTATTGTAGTGTTGTCTCTGCACTTCCATCAATCAATGTTGTATTGTTTTTCACATTAATGTCAATCGATAAATGTCCAAATATGGAGGCTTCTCGTCTCCAAGCAGATTCAATTTAACTCTTTCCAAAGATAGAGTTGATAAATAAGAGAGTTTGATAGAGCCATGGTGTTTTTACTTTGATTTACATCCCTTTTCAACACCCAGACATACAGACACTTAAAGTAATATTACGGACAACACAGCTTGAGTATCACTACATTATCAGTAAGGACATTATTTAAAAAGTCAAGACATTTTGTGTAAAGTCAAAACTAGTTCAAAAGTTAAAAAGGTGCTCGCAAAAGGGTTGTTCCAGGGTTAATACTACTTTAGCACGACAGATATGTTAGCAGTCATCATTAGATTTAGGTTATGAATGCATTACCAATGGTTTTCCCTTGTGTCCTGATAACAAAATACTAGCAAAGCTTTCCCAGATGTAGAGATACTGTGCGCGTGTTAGTGTTGTATAGGAAAGGTTTTTCAACCGATACAACCAGAAAATGAGCCTCATCACTTGAGGACAGTGTCATGTGTTCAGGTCCATTACACAGGATGTGCAGAGGCTGTGTTTGCTTTTTAAATGAAAGAATGTGGTTGCAAGGCAAAACAACATCACAGACTAGAGAGAATGTTATTTGGTTCCACTTTTTGTAAGTCTTCCTGGAAAAGCTATAGTAAAAACCATTGTGTTAATGAATCTAGTGTAAACACAGATTTGTGCATTTCTCTCTAAACAGGCTGCATGTGTCGGAGTGGCTGCGTTGGACAGGAAGGAGAATCTCTCCACGGGAATCTGATGACTGTAATCACTGTAATTCCACCGCATCACTAACCCGTAATTATGCCCAATCAGCATTTAGCAGGCGGGCTGGCATTGTTCATGTGGAACAGGAGCTCACGACCACCAGCCTCTGAGCGAGCCGCATGCCAGCCGACCAGTCCGACAAATGTGTCTGTAGATGCAACGACTCCAAAGAGACGTGTGCAAATCACCTCATCAACAGAACAAAAATGTTCAGCGCCTAACGAGCACAGAGACAACAGTTTGAATAGAGGAATTTCTGTTTAAGCATGCTCTAAATCTTGGTATAGTTTTTTACAAATGCAAGTCACCTGGTGGGGATCAAAGGCAGCACATGAATGCCTCTTTTGGGGAGGGCAAGTGGGAAGAGGAAGGGATGGAGGTATCGCATTGATCAATGAACCGCCTGCACATCTGGAGCGAGACATAGCTGCATCCCTGTATTGATCTCAGGATTAATTAGTCCAGCTTCAACCGGTGCTTCCTGTCTTTTTAGCGGCCTTATAAAAGATAAGGAGATCCAATATCAAAGTGCTATTCCCCGATACCGACCGTTAACCTGAAGTGAGGCTCGAGCAAAGCAGATGGACTTGATGGTAAATTAGGTTTGTCTACAATGGACGTGTCTCAGTTGTACCACCATTCTGCTGTGTCAGGGGACCAGCTTAATTGCTGCATTGGTCAATAGAAACAGCTCCAATACACAAATCGAGTTCATCATAACTGTGTTTTATAGGTTGCATCTGACACATTTACATTACGGTTCTAGATCTGCAGTCAGAAGGGAGGTTTGTCAATTCAAAGAGGAGGGAGCTACAACTGAACACCAGACAAGACATTGTTAAGTTATCCAAATGGTACAGATACTTTGAATGAAATGAAATGCCACTGTGAAAGGGTTCAACTTTAACACCCAAACCAACGAGGCAGTGCTAGCGTAATGTCAATCACAAGATAGCCACGCCCTAAACTAGATGATTAACTGGTTTATCGTCTATTTTACTTCTAAATGGGACAATAATTCATAAGATTCCCATCATGCTGAAGTAAAAAAAAAGACTACTTGTCTCTTGAGAAAAGGGAAGTAACATTTTGCTGTGATAAGAAATCAAGTTAGAAGTAGGGTCATTTTCTCATAGACTAGAAAAATCCTCATAATCCATACATTTTCCACAAATGTTGCAAAACAGGATTTCTAGGAATATGGCTCTCGTAGAAAAACTAATGGCTCCACGGTGGCGTCCCTTTAAAGCTATAGGAACACCTCTTTAAGACCCGGACTACAGTCTGCCATTGTTATGAACATTTCCAAACAAAATGTGCTAATAGGGAGACTAAGCCTGAACCTAAATAGCCATGTGGAGTAACCTCGTGGGCGCATTAACAATTTGTGGCATCTAGTTCCTCCGCTGCACTTTAATTGCAGACTTCTTTCGGAACCACA